TAGATAAATATAGGAATTAGCTGATAATTTAAAAGATTTATAGGATAAATTTAAATATCTATATAAGAATTAAAAATATAAATAAAAAATAGATTAAATTATTATTCAAATAGGAGATTGTTTTGGCAAATTAAATTCTATGGAATTACTTTTAACTTAAGAACTATTTGAAAATTATCAATAATTCAATTAAATATAAGATTCAATCAATCAAAATTTAAAAGAATTTGAAAAATAATATGATTAATTGCATGAATAAATTCATCACGATTAATAAATTGAATTAATAAATGCTGAAAGAATATAAAAATTAAAAAATATAGATGCATAATTAAGTGAATTTTTAAATAAAATGAATCAATTAAAAATTAAGATAAATGATTTTATTAATTATCAATATTGCAATAATGAACAAACTAAGAACTTAGTACTGGGTAAATAAAGAAAGATAGATTAAAATATGAATTAAATTTAAGAATAATTCAAACTATTTAAAGAATTTAATTAATTTAATTCCTATCAAACTATTAATGATTAAATAATCTATTTAGAATAATTTGAAGAAAATTTAAATAATTTACTAATTAATGAAGAAGAATAACTTATCCAATTAAAGTTAATAGTTGAAAGAATAGGAGTTGAAAACAAAAATGAATAAGAAAAAGAAATTTTAATATTGAAGAATTAATTTTAATAAAAATAAATGCAATTTTCAAAAGAAATTTAATTAATCAAAATTGAAGCAGATAAGATTCAATATATAAAATAAATAAATCTAAATAGAGAAAATTTGTAAAAGGAACTTGATGACGAAATTTAAATATTAGAGAAATATTAGGAATTGAATTAAAATAATTAAAAGCTATTTAAAGAAAAATTAAATTAATTTTAAAATAAATAAGGGTAAATGCCATTATAATAAAAGATTGTGGATTTACTGGGAAAATAAAAAGAATATAATTCTTAAAAAGCCTAAAAATTAGAGGAAATATTGAGAAATGTATACAGTATAAAAGGCTAATTGTAATTTGAAAATCTTGATAATAAACTTATTGATACATATGAATAATTCAAAATATTTGAAGAACAATTATAAGTTAAAATAAATGAATTAGAATAAAATTAACAGAATAATCCAACTTCGTTTTAACAAATAATAAGTGAAATTAAAAATTTAATTTTGCAAATAAATTAAAGGTTGGAAAAAATTCCCAAGCCCGATGAAATTTAAATATTCAAAAAAGTATTTTTAATTAATTCATAATCTTATGAAAAATTATATTCTTTAGTTAACTATATAAGGTAGTATCATTTAACAAGATATTATGAAAGATTTAAAAATGACGCAGAAAAATAAAATAAGAAAAAAAAAAACTAACAGGAAAATAATTATACTTAGGTCTTTTAAATTAAAAAAAATGAAAAAATGGAAGAAAATACTTAGAAGGAGAAGGCAGCTTAAGATTTGCTAAAGACATTCGAAAATATTCTACTTCATAATTACCAGAAACTGATGATTCATGAAATTAAAAGGGATTATGAGTAAATTAAGAAGCAAATAGAAAATTAAGAAAATTTAATTAAATAAAAAAATTAAGTAAAACTAAGAGCTTTTATAAAAAACTAGTAAATTATAAAAGAGATTATTAGCTTGAAATAATATTTTAAAATTTCCGAATTAACATAAATGCTACATATTTAAGAAATTCTAATTAATTGAATTGAATATAAGTTATCTATTTATCATAAATTATTAAAATTAAGATATAATCATTCTTATTATTCTCCTTAGCTTTATGATTATTTGAAATAGTTTAAATATCCTTCAGTACAAAGTTGTCTGTAATGCTTCAATTATTATAAATGTTATTTTCTAAAATTCAAAATTTAATTCATACTTTATCGTTGAAGATTCTTTACAAAGTTAAACATTTTTTAACAAATTATCTTTATTATTTTTATTCGATACATCTTAATTATGAAGATTTATCTAGTTACTATGATACCGAAACTCGACATTTCAATCTCAGGTGCCCTATAAAATCTACTTTGAATATATCTATAAAGCTTTTAATTAGCAAAACAGCTAGATCCAAAATCAATAATTTTGATTCCAGATCGATTGAAACTATTATATTCTATTATTTCATAAATAATAATACTTATAAAATTTGAATAGCAAATATCCTTATTAAATCAAGATCAAAATCTGAAAACTCATTAATAGTTATGAATTCATATAAGTTACAACTTAACAAATCAAAGACGAGACACTGTTCTAATTAAACGATAATTTTTATAATATGTCCTCGAAATTCAAAATAATTGAGCATTTGAATTAAGCAGGAAGTTGGGTCTGCTTTGTTCATTAGTTTTAATATTTCAATTTCAATGAGAGCTTGATTATAAAATTTTTTTTTATTTTTTTTTTATTTTTAAGGTAGTATTTTATTTATTTTTATGATCATGAACCTTAAAAACATTACCAAAAACTTCCATGGCCTTATTTTTCTAACATTTCTTATCGATAAGCAATTTAATCTTTTTTAAAAAAGTAATCTCCACTAGATTTAATAATTAAAATATATTTGCTATTATCTAATCCGTTATTATATTGTTAATCTTCATTAGCTTCTTGCTAAAAAATCTTATTTTTATAGAAGAAAGATAATAGNAATATTCAAAAAAGTATTTTTAATTAATTCATAATCTTATGAAAAATTATATTCTTTAGTTAACTATATAAGGTAGTATCATTTAACAAGATATTATGAAAGATTTAAAAATGACGCAGAAAAATAAAATAAGAAAAAAAAAAACTAACAGGAAAATAATTATACTTAGGTCTTTTAAATTAAAAAAAATGAAAAAATGGAAGAAAATACTTAGAAGGAGAAGGCAGCTTAAGATTTGCTAAAGACATTCGAAAATATTCTACTTCATAATTACCAGAAACTGATGATTCATGAAATTAAAAGGGATTATGAGTAAATTAAGAAGCAAATAGAAAATTAAGAAAATTTAATTAAATAAAAAAATTAAGTAAAACTAAGAGCTTTTATAAAAAACTAGTAAATTATAAAAGAGATTATTAGCTTGAAATAATATTTTAAAATTTCCGAATTAACATAAATGCTACATATTTAAGAAATTCTAATTAATTGAATTGAATATAAGTTATCTATTTATCATAAATTATTAAAATTAAGATATAATCATTCTTATTATTCTCCTTAGCTTTATGATTATTTGAAATAGTTTAAATATCCTTCAGTACAAAGTTGTCTGTAATGCTTCAATTATTATAAATGTTATTTTCTAAAATTCAAAATTTAATTCATACTTTATCGTTGAAGATTCTTTACAAAGTTAAACATTTTTTAACAAATTATCTTTATTATTTTTATTCGATACATCTTAATTATGAAGATTTATCTAGTTACTATGATACCGAAACTCGACATTTCAATCTCAGGTGCCCTATAAAATCTACTTTGAATATATCTATAAAGCTTTTAATTAGCAAAACAGCTAGATCCAAAATCAATAATTTTGATTCCAGATCGATTGAAACTATTATATTCTATTATTTCATAAATAATAATACTTATAAAATTTGAATAGCAAATATCCTTATTAAATCAAGATCAAAATCTGAAAACTCATTAATAGTTATGAATTCATATAAGTTACAACTTAACAAATCAAAGACGAGACACTGTTCTAATTAAACGATAATTTTTATAATATGTCCTCGAAATTCAAAATAATTGAGCATTTGAATTAAGCAGGAAGTTGGGTCTGCTTTGTTCATTAGTTTTAATATTTCAATTTCAATGAGAGCTTGATTATAAAATTTTTTTTTATTTTTTTTTTATTTTTAAGGTAGTATTTTATTTATTTTTATGATCATGAACCTTAAAAACATTACCAAAAACTTCCATGGCCTTATTTTTCTAACATTTCTTATCGATAAGCAATTTAATCTTTTTTAAAAAAGTAATCTCCACTAGATTTAATAATTAAAATATATTTGCTATTATCTAATCCGTTATTATATTGTTAATCTTCATTAGCTTCTTGCTAAAAAATCTTATTTTTATAGAAGAAAGATAATAGATAGTCTAATAATCAATTATTTCTTTTTTTTCAAATTCTGATAATTAATCAAGTTAATGTTTGAGTACAGTGATAGCATTTTGAGGTAATTAAGGTTTTTATAATTATTGTTGAATAGTTTATTAAATTGATAAGGAAAAGTTGTTATTTTTTTTCATCGAAGAAATCATTTTTAATAGCATTCCTTTAAGATCTTTATTAAATATTTCCTTGTATTTTTAACTAGAGAGCAATTATCTTTTGTCTTGTTATTTCTTTTAGGCTACTTATCTGATAGTTTTTATTTATTGCTATCTCCATAAATAGATCTAATATTTGGACTAGTCTTTAAATTAGTTTTAGGATATTGAGAAATATAAGGTTAGGTAACTTAAGTAGGGATTCTTAAAATGATTAGAAATAGAGCGTATTTTAATTGATGTCAAAAAGAGATGGTTTAATTTGACAAGTAGATTTTTTAACTAGAAAGCGTAATTTTTTTTAGATGTTCTTCTACTTGAGTCAGGTTGTTTGACTTCATTTTATACAATTATGATACTAATTTATTATTTATTTAATATACATGCATTTGTAACACTGAATTTTTTGGTAGCCTTGTATGTTTGAGAAGGAGATTTAATAATTTAGATTCTTGTTGTCTTGTTGTAATTTTAAAAATACTCTTTAGGATGATGTCTTAGATGTTATTTATTAATGGAGTTCTTATACGGATTTTTATTGATGAGATCAAAACTGCTAATTTATGTGGATTGTTCTTGAGAATGGTGAGTAAACTTGTTTTTTGATTTTAATTGAGAAGCTATTCAATATATAGAAGACTTAATTTTTTCATTTTGATTCTCGTTATTAATTAAAAATATAAATTGAAAAATGAGATGAAATGGAAAGTTGAGAATGATAGGATTATGAGTTATGATAGAATGAGGGAAATGGGAAGAATTTAGGAAGGAATCAATAAAAGGTTTTGATTAATAGATTATTTGAAGTAAATGAATAATGTAGAAATGAAAATAGGTTGGGTAGATGTCTTTAGTAATTTACTGTGAAATAGAAGTAGCATAAGTTTAAATAATTATTGTATTTATTATTTATTTGGATACCTCATTATAAATTTTTGTTTAAATATAATTAAAATATATATATATACTGAATGCTAATTATTTAATGAAGGAAGGAAATTACTTATAAGAAACACCTATAATTTAGAGATGAAATTAACAAAAAGATGTAATTCTAAGAAAGAGTGTGGGATTTGTGATTGAGAATATTTTGAGTGAGGATGTTGGATTTGGGAAGAATTAGGGAGAATGGGTAAAAATTTCTAAAATAAAATAGCATGGGAATTTAAAATTGTGTATGAACATCAATATTTGGTATAATAAATAATGATTTTGAATTTTACTGAGGTTAAAATGGGAGAGCAGGAGCATGAAGGGAGACTTATTTCAAGAAGTAATAATCAATAGACTGGATTGGTAGAGATACTATATGGGGATAGTGTATTGATGAGTGTTGGATTATTTAATGATTAATAAAATTTTTGTCGGATTTAATTGTATAAATATATCGATAAGCTTTCTATAGTGAGAATGATGTTCAAATTAGGGGGGTTAAGTAATATTGACTTTATTAATGAGAAAATCTTGTTTGTTTCGCACTATATATTCTCGATTAAATGATTCAAGTTAACTAAATTTTAAACAAAAATAAAGCATGCAATCCAATTCCTTTTCATACAGTACTTGCCCTTACTAATTTCAATCAAGTATCGCAATTACAACCACTAGATAGATTTCATAATGAATCCACAAATGTATTACTCTAACTACAACCCTTACTACTCTTAAGTCTAACCCTATATGGTAATGACATAATGTAATTTATGTTTAGGCACCTTAACCGTATCTAATGAATGAATCTTACCATCCAAACTATTATTAGCAATCAAATTGTATCAATTGGAGTACAGAACAAACAGAGATGAAATTGCCAAAATTTACAATCACTCCTTACATCAAATAGGAAGACAATCTCATTAAATAAATTGATATCCATCCTTAAAATCTCTCTGAGAAGAAGAATCAAGAGGATAATTCAGATAAACTCTTATAGAAAGTAGAGACAGTGCGACAGGTTAAAAAATCCAATAGTTAGATTATCCAAAACCGAAGAGGTTATTTCATATTCTAATTTTAGGACATTGGACAAATGAAGAGCATTACAAATATTTAAAATTTGTTCGATAACATAAAGAATTGTTCCAAACAAGTGTCTAAAAAAAATTAAACAGAGTCTTCAAAATGATGTCAATCGAAATACCAACCAGAACTGCTTGTTAGTGTCGATCTCATTATTCGAAATTCAACCCATTAGATCACATTGTAAAAATTCTTTAATTATATTTAGGGGAAAGTAAGACGAAAATTGGTAAATGATGAATCTGTTTATGAGCGCATGTTCAACAATACTTCTTAAAATGACTGAGATTGTTTCATTCATATATTATGTCGATATTATTAAAATTCAGTCCTATAAAATATATCTTTAATTAAATAATTTATTAATAAACCTTATAAACTATTGCGTTCTATACTAATTATTTAATTACTAAATCTAAGAATTATAGTTTTTATATTTACATAATACATTATATATTTTATATAATAACTTTAATTGAATGTCAGAATATTTTTCTAAATTGGTATCAATTATATTCTTAACTTTTAGTTTAGAGCCACAAGTCCTAAAGCCACAATTCGTCATTCTTAAAGTATGTAAACAATCAATTGTACGAGTTAGGAAAATAATTACCTAAAGATTTTGCTTAGCAAATCCTTGACAATGACATTATATTAGTTCTTAGTGAATACACTAATGATGATGCATTAAGAAATCTAATCAACTTATATATGGTAACTTATATTCATATTTATATTTAGTTAGGAGTTGAACACTTTAAAGAAATTCAAGATTAATCATTCAAATATTTTCAAATTCAATTGAATAAATTAATACTCAATCCCATTGTTACTTAACCTACTTTGCCTTCTCAATAAAAGCCTTCAGAATCTCCAATTATTAAGAAAAAAAATCTCCCACCTCCTAAAATAGATGTTCATATTAATCAAAATCATTAAGAAAATTAACATTTACAATATTCCAAAACTGCTCAAGTTATAAGAGACACTAAAGCATCTACATTTCATTTTAATGATGATTAAATTACAAAAAATCTCAATTTAAAAAATGACAAGCTCAACACTAAGAATACTTCAAGTGTTGATTTTGATAATGAAAAAATACAAAATGATATCTAAAATAGAATATAATCACAATAAGATGAAAGAAAAGAAAATATGACTTTAGATTTAAAATAATAACTATTCTTATTTGATGAAAATAAAGAAGCTAATGATCTTATTGATCAATATAAATCTGATTAACTCAAAATTGAACAAATTAAAAATGACTAAATAAGTAAATAAACTACAGCATTCCTTATGAAACTATCATAAAGAAATAATAAAAAAAAATTTAATACACAAATTGTTACTAATATCAATAGATATCATTCATAACCAATTTTACAAAATCAAAATGGAAATAATGCAGAATAACCTCCTCCTATTCAAGAATAAATTATACTTGAAGATAAAAATGAATCAAGCTCTAAAATCACCTCTAGCGAAAAAAAAATTAATAAATTTTAATTTGATGATTTATAAGAGGGTTGAATTGAATCATTATTTACAATTAACATCAATCTGTATATAAATATTACAATAATATTCAATTTTTATTTCATTAGGATTCATATTTTTATTATTTTTTTCATCATAACTACTTTCTAGTTTAAATTATAAATATGAAATGCCAAAATTATGTCAAAAAATTAATTATCATGATGAAAAATTTGAAAAAATGATTATTTTTACAAAATTACCATAAATCTAAAATTAGAAAGAATCCATCAATATAAAAAAACGATATATTTTTTGATAAATGTAAATTTTAAGAGTGACTCTTGAATAGTGATCCTCAAATAATCCTTTAACTCTTAATTCAAAATATATTATCAATTTTCTATGTAATTTTTCGAATTGAATCAATTATTTTCACAAATATTCAAATAAGTACAATTAATATTAACTATAACTAATTTTTGAAGTTTGAATCATAAAATTAATTATTAAAATATGCTTCATAGTATTTACAAGTTCTGAAGTATTTTAATTTATAATAGTGTTGATAAAGTTAGGTTGCAATTTGATTAGAATAAAATTTGAAAAAAGTTTAAGATCAATTCATCATTTTTATTTTTTTAAGGATTCCAAGAGTTTTTAATTTTTTCATTTGAAATGAGCGATATTCAAATTATATAACTGAATAATTGTAAAACAATTGAATTTGAATTCTCATTAAATTAATCAAATATATTATAATTAATATAATATACAATTTTTTATATTATATTTTTATTTATAGTAATTATTAATATCATAATTGAAAGCTTCAATATAATTAACATAAATTTTCATGAGAATATACTTATGATTATTGATAAAAACAATATCATGAATAATGTTTAAGATTAAACATTTACTTTATAAAGTACCTGAAATATTTTGTACACAAGTAACTACAAAATACCCTTATGATTTCAAAATTTATGTAAAGCAATTAGGTCTAACATAGCGATGAAAATCATTAATACTAAAGAGGTCTAAATGTGAATTAGTTGAGAAGTATTATTATTAATTATTTAAGTATGAGTTTTTTTTATTGATGGAAGCAGAAGACCTTTATTATTTTATGTGATATATATAGTAAAAGAAATCAAGTTCAATCTTGGAAAAGGTTTAAAAGAATTTTTGATGGATGAATTTAAAATCTCAAATTGATATATCGACATGATAAAAATATGAATAAATAAAAAGTTAAGGATTAAATGAAGGTATAAATTATTTTTATTGATTTATGATGTTTCATAGAAGAATAGTTTATTTTAATAAAAATTAATACATAAAAAATATTAAAATAGAGATATTTGAGAAATGGAATATTAATAAAGGTATTTACAAAAGATTATAAAGCTTTTTTAATATTTTTAAAATTTATTTTTAGAGAAATTCATGTATTTGATATATGAGAATAAAATTTTAGATATTTTTAAGTCATTTAATAATATATTTTTGTAAGAAATTTAAAAAATAATATTGATCATTTCATTAACCAATTTGTAAGTAGAATAAATAAAATGACAATGCCTAATGTTCTACTTATCAAAATTAAAGCTTGTTATTCATCATTAATTTTCTTGATTTATTTTTCTTGTAAGATAATTTATAATGATAATTATTTTATTTAATTTTCTAACTTTTATTGATTTGACTCCAATTCTTAGATTTTTTCATAATTAAGGTCACGATTTTTCGGTGGACTAACCAAAAATTTTTATTAAAAAATCTAACTTTCACTTTTAACTTATCTTCTAACATGAACCATTGAAGGTTAATCAGCAATAATTTAGCTTGAATTTAATAGATCTTATTATTATTATTATTATTATTATTATTCTTCTTTTAATTTTAATAATTCTGCTAATCTTGCTTTAGCATATGGTATATAATAGGTTTCCAAAACTCTTTTTGATTCAATTGCACCAGCATTATCAACTTAATTAGAAATAATCATAATTCTTTATTACCATTCAATAGTAAAAGTACATTCAATTCGACTATTAGACTTATAAAATATTATAAATACAATTTTTTATGTCCAATTCTTATAGCTTTTTCATGTGACATCATTTTATAACAATCACTTTTTGGTAATCCTGATGTTTCTGATTAAACTTACACAATAAATTCATTTTAATTAATCAATAGCAATCTTTAAATCATTTTAACCTTTGGATTTATAGTACCAAAAAATGGCAATTTAGTTGGATGGACATAATTGATAGTTCTAGTAGGTAAATTATGAATTTTTTATTAATCATGAGATGGTCCTTTGGATAAATCACCAGTTCTTAAATATTCAGGAACTTAAGGAACATAAGGATCACATATAATTTATTAATCTCCAAGAATTTATTCAAAAAAGAAATGTAATACATTTTAATACTATTTAGTTTTATCCACTTCTTTTATTGTAAGATTAAAATGTTAACTAGGTTTATATGTAATATCATCATAAAGTAATGCAAAGACTTCATGAATATCTAATCCCTCTATTTCAAAAATAGTAGGTGGATTATATTGATTACCATCCTTAAGTTTTAATAATTAAGGTAGAATTTGTTAACTTAAATTATTATAAGCATCCCAATCAAATGAATCATTTTCAAGTATTGCTTCAAAATCTTCAATTTTTAAATTAATGCTTCTCAAAATTTCCATAATTTATGGTCTTTAGGCATAAAAATTTCTAAAAATCAATTAATTTTATTTATGTGTAGTAATTATTAATTAATCATTATCATCATTTTCATCAAATGCTTTAATTTATGAATCTAAAATAGTTTTATAATATGTACATTATAATTTTGTCATTTATTAATTGAATCCAAAAGATGTGGTAGAGTAATTAAAGAGAGATTAGAAATGTAATGATTTTTCCATTATGAATAATTTTCCTTTTTTCCATCTATCTTATTGAATGTTACCATCTAACATGTCACAAGAGAATACTTAAATCAATCGATCGCTATGTACATTATTTTGATTCATTCTTTTTAATATAAATTAATAATTATAGTTAAATAAGTATTAATAAACAAAAGAATAATTTTATTAAAGTCATATGTTAATTATTTAAATTAATTTGTGTAATAATTATATTGCAAATTATAAGATTGATATTATAATGCTTAATACATCCTATTAGTAACATCAAAATTAAAAATACTTAAAAACAAAATAACAATATTTTTAAAGAAAACCTATTAAACATGAAGGAGCAATAAAATTCTGATGTTCTAGTTTATTTTGGACTTTTTGGTCAATCTTTTAAGTAAAAGATCTTTTAAATTTTGTACAATAAAAGCGATAATGATAGTATGGAATTAAAATAAGTCAATTTTGAGAGTTGGCTTGAATATATATAAAAGGATGGAGTAATAAATTATAATATTTTAATTTAAAGCGTATTATAGAAGATAATTAAATTTTAATTAATAATAAAATAAAATATAATATAAGATAAGATAATAATTAAGAGGAATGTTATCTCCAATAATGATGAAATATCTTGCAATGCAGTAATGTTTGCAGTTTATAAGGAAGTATATTGTCTAATTTGTCTTGATCCTTATAGTAGTAAATTGAGGGTATCTATAAAAAAGTAAAAAATTATGATTGTTACTACAGCAATCCTCTAAAAAAAACAGAAAATTGACGAATCTCAATATTAATATGAAAATATTGCTTAAGATCTTTATTTGTCTCAATTTTGTATTAAAATAAATAAAACTATTGAAATTTTGATAATATCCTCCAACAAATTTCTATTTAAAAGATTCTTAATATAATAATATTTAAATTTAACAATATAAAAATAATATTACAAAGATGAATAAATCTAATTTAGGTTTTCACTTAAATAAAAGAAAAATTCAGCAAAATTATTAACCAGAAAATATTTTTTAAGATTCCAAAATCTAGAAAATTAACTGATTTAGAAACATAGCTTAAAAATTAATCGAAAATATCATTTTTAACCATCTAAATATATATTTATTTAGATTATATATTTAATTTTATTTTATATACATTATAATANTTTTTAATATAAATTAATAATTATAGTTAAATAAGTATTAATAAACAAAAGAATAATTTTATTAAAGTCATATGTTAATTATTTAAATTAATTTGTGTAATAATTATATTGCAAATTATAAGATTGATATTATAATGCTTAATACATCCTATTAGTAACATCAAAATTAAAAATACTTAAAAACAAAATAACAATATTTTTAAAGAAAACCTATTAAACATGAAGGAGCAATAAAATTCTGATGTTCTAGTTTATTTTGGACTTTTTGGTCAATCTTTTAAGTAAAAGATCTTTTAAATTTTGTACAATAAAAGCGATAATGATAGTATGGAATTAAAATAAGTCAATTTTGAGAGTTGGCTTGAATATATATAAAAGGATGGAGTAATAAATTATAATATTTTAATTTAAAGCGTATTATAGAAGATAATTAAATTTTAATTAATAATAAAATAAAATATAATATAAGATAAGATAATAATTAAGAGGAATGTTATCTCCAATAATGATGAAATATCTTGCAATGCAGTAATGTTTGCAGTTTATAAGGAAGTATATTGTCTAATTTGTCTTGATCCTTATAGTAGTAAATTGAGGGTATCTATAAAAAAGTAAAAAATTATGATTGTTACTACAGCAATCCTCTAAAAAAAACAGAAAATTGACGAATCTCAATATTAATATGAAAATATTGCTTAAGATCTTTATTTGTCTCAATTTTGTATTAAAATAAATAAAACTATTGAAATTTTGATAATATCCTCCAACAAATTTCTATTTAAAAGATTCTTAATATAATAATATTTAAATTTAACAATATAAAAATAATATTACAAAGATGAATAAATCTAATTTAGGTTTTCACTTAAATAAAAGAAAAATTCAGCAAAATTATTAACCAGAAAATATTTTTTAAGATTCCAAAATCTAGAAAATTAACTGATTTAGAAACATAGCTTAAAAATTAATCGAAAATATCATTTTTAACCATCTAAATATATATTTATTTAGATTATATATTTAATTTTATTTTATATACATTATAATATAATTAAAATTAAGTGTATAGATATATACATTTATTCACTTTTAAACCTTTATTTCAATTCATTGCCGAATTATAGCAAAGAAATACTGAAAATTCAAACATTTTTTAATATTCTAATATCCTATTAATAAGCAATTCATCACTAAAATTAGCATTCAATTTTACTCTAATTTTTGTTTTAATCTCTTTTTCTAAATTTTCACTTTTTTTAGTGATAGAAATATCATGTTCTTTCACTATAGAATTTTCGATTGCTTATTTTTTTTATTATAAACAACTTTAGTATTCTTCCATCATATTTTTTATTGATTATACTTCTTGCTTGTTTGATTCTATTTAATTTTATATTTAATTATATTTAAGTAAAATGGCTTAGTTTTAGACCTAAGACTAATCTTAATTTAGCTTTTATAAACTTTTGATCTTTAGAGATTAATCTCTTTTTAAGTATCTCGAATAATGATATAATTTTATATAAACAATCAAAGTGAGCAGTTCTGTTAAATTAGTTTAATTATCTTGTTATTCCTAATTAAACCTTTAAATTTTATAAAAGGATGGTATAAGTTGAAGTTTTAATTAAGTTTAAATAATCAAAGCTTTAATTTTTTTAATCTATTTTTATTACTCATCATTATTATTTTGGCTCTTTAAAATTATTTCTGTTACTTCTTGCAACATATTTTATAATATAAATTTTTAATTCTTAATTTCATTCCTTGAATCTATAATTTCTTTATAAAAATCTTTGTCATCATGAAATTTAAGCCTATCTCTTACTTACTCTAATAATTTTATAGTTTCAATAAGTTTAAACTTATTATTTTCATATGTTATTTAAGAAAGTATTTCATATCTTTAATTCAAAAATCCTTTTTAATCAAATTTGTCAAGCTTTGATTTAATTATTTCATTATTTTATTCTAATATTCTTTAGCAATCTTGTAAATATTTACTTTAGTTTTCAAGTGTTTTAAACATATCATTTTTAATCTAATTTTAATTATTTATGATTTCTATATCTGTACAATAAAGTTCAGTTGCTTATAAATGTGCTTCCATTAATCCTATTTAATGAATCGATAAATTAAGAAGATCTTTTAATTCTTACTACAAACTATTTAAATCTTATGTTTACAAAATTAGTTATTCTGTCACAAATTATTGAGATGATAATATTTCATGATTGTTAATTTGTATAATTTTATCATTAAAAATTTTAATTTTTTGAATAATAATGATTATATTTTCAATTTTTTAATCTTTTGCAAAATTAGATAATTATTCAAATTCTGATATTAAATTCTATTTCTAATTGATTAAATTTTAGATTTTTTCATTAAAGTAATTATTTTATTAATTTTATATATTTTATAGTAAATTTAAAGTTTTTAACTCTTCTAATCTAAGTATTTAATCATCTAAGGTTGTATTATATTATTTTAATAAAAGGTTAGATCTGTTAATTAAAGTAATATTTTCTTTTTAAAATTTAGAACTCAAATATTCCAATTCTATTTCTTTTTTTATTGACTCAACATCAATATTAATTTTATATAACTACTTTTAAAATTCCCTAATTTTTTCAGCTTCTTCTTTTGGTGATTCTCTTTATGCACTTTTCTATAATGTAATTTTAACTAATAAATCTTTAAGTTATTAATACGATTATTTATTTTAGAAGTTTATTGATGATTAATCTAACTATTTACAAAGAATTTCTATCTAATATTATGTAACCTAAATAATTTACTATTACAAAGCTTCTTAACCAATAAAATATGCTGGTAATCCTAAAATTTCATTTTCTTTAATCGATATTTTTAAATTATAATCTAATAAAAGTTATTATTTAATTTGTAAAGAGATCTCTTCTTTTATTTCATTTTCTTTATCCTTCTAACTTTTTTATATTTTTTCTTCTAATTGTTATATTAAACTTGTTATTTAAATCTATAGTTATTAATCGAATTAATAAAATAATTTGTCTACTTTTTGCCATCTATCTAAATTACTGCAATTCGTTTATTCTTGAATTGCATATTTCTATTGAATGTAAGGTTTTTTGTATTATTAATATAAATTATCTAGTTGATGAATAAATTAGTTGATTTCATCTTAAATAATATCTATTTTTATTTTTTTGATCTATATTTATATATTATCACATATTTATAATTATTATTCTTTAAATTATTGATGATATTACTATTTAATTTGATTTTTTAAATTAATTAATTCGATTATTTATTCATTTTATTCTAATGAGTATTTTAAAATATTTATCTGTTCTTAATTTTAGCAAAGCATTTTTAAATTTTAGAATAAAATGTCAAGAGTAATTCTTTTTGAACTTTGGATAATTAACATCTATTTTAGTAAGTTTTTGATATTTGGATTTATTTAGTTTGTACTTTAATCAATTGATGAGTCAATAATATCTTAAGTTAATTATTTATTGTTTTGTTTTATTAAAATTTCTCCTGTTAACATTTCATACCAAATTACACCTAAAGACCAAATATCCACTTATTTATCATAAAAATGATCATCCACAATTTCAGGAGCTAAATATTCAAGTGATCCAATTTCAAGTTATTTATTTAATTCTTTATCTGTTTATAATTATACAAGTCCAAAATCTAAAAGTTTTAGTACTTATTAATTATTTTTATCTTCACAAAAAACAAAGTTTATAGGTTTCAAATTTCGATGAAATGTACCGAATCTATGGAATTCTTAAATAGCTTAAACTAACTTTTTCTATTATAAAATAATAATACCTAAATAAATAATAAACATTTTTCAATTTATTATTTTCTTTTATATTCCTCCTCACGAATGTAATCATTCAGTAATTTTGTTGTTTTCTCAATAATCAAAAAAGCCTTATGTTCTTGTTTTTCATACATTTTTATTTCAATTATATGTTATTATTTAACTCTTTATTAAAGTAATATTAAATTCTCCTCTATTGTTGTAATTTTAGATTTTTCTTTTAAAGTTATTAATTCCCCTGTCTGAATATTTTTTGCTTTATAAATCTCAAATGAATCTCCCTTCAGATACTATTCATATTTCTCTATTTTATATCCCTTTAATGTGATTGATTCTCTTTATTCCATTTATTAATTATTTTTTCTGTCAAATGCTAATTATTTTAGAAGAAATTTAAAACTAAACTTTTTTTGATAATAGAAAAATAATAACCTATTTCAATTATTTAAAATATAATTATTAGATGTTAATGATCCAAGAAAATTAAGAATTACAATTTAATGGACAGATTATTGAAATAAAGGAATTAATAAATTAGATGGGGACAATAAAACTATATTAGGGTAATTTAAAAACAATTGAATAAAATATTCTAATAATTGAAGTTGATAAAAATTTTTAAATTAAAGAATAACTTAAGCTTTTAGTTTATGATATTGATCTTATTGAATTTTATAAGGAAAAACTCTAAAATGTTTTTTTAAAAACTTCAAATGATCAAATTATAAAATTGAATTAGTATTAAATATATTCTTGGGAGGATTATTTTAAATTGTAAGAATTCAAATTCTTGCCTATATAATCAAAACACAAATTATTTCTTAAAGTATTCATAATTTTTATATATGTTAGTATTGTAAAAAATAAATTTATTAATAAACATTTGACCTTTGTATATTTTAATAGAATTAGTTAGGATGTGTTTAAATTAAATCATTAAGTCAAAGATTATTTAGAATAAATGATTGGATTAATTAACTAGATATTGATTTTAACTAAGAATATTCATAAATTGAGATCTAATAAACCAAAAACTTTGGGTTGGTTTATTTTCGAATGTTGACTGATATTGATGTTGAATGTATCATTATTTATTATTAATTTTAGAATTAAACCTAATGTCATTAGACTAAAGAATATAATTGATTCAAGATTCTCCACTTTATGAATGGTAGAAATTAATGATAATTAATTTTCTAAATCTCAAATTTGATCAATAATTCACAAAATAGTAAAAGCATCTTATAACATTAATAAAGTAAGATTATTTCGATGTTGATATTGATATTTAAAAAGCTGAATTAAACTTGTAAAAAATCAATGATTAAATAAATTCTGGATAAAAAAATAATTAATGGATCGATATTATCTTTTAATACTTACTGTAATAATCATAGATTCAAGCCATATTAAATTATCTTTATTATCATATCAATAAAGAGAAAAGCAATCATAAAATATTTTAAGAATATGTAAAAGTTAATAAATTTAATTCTGAATTCTATAATAATCTTATAAATACTATCAAAACATAAAATGATTAAAATGTGAATATGTTAAAATTACAATTAAATGAACTTAACAATTAATATCATTAATTGCATTTGAATTTTTAAAATAATTTTTTTGAGAATTTAATAATTATTCATAAAAAACTTTAATTAAAATTAGATAAATTTTATGGACCATCCTAATTTTTAGGATAATTTGGAGCTTTAAAAATTGGTTTTTTTTCCAAACTATAAAATTAAAACAAGAGTTAAATAGAGAAATTATAATAATAAATGAAAAATTAAATTTAATTTAATTCTATTTTAAATTTTAATGAATCTCTTGATAATTTTTAGAAAAATAGTGGAATTATTAAGGCTGAATATTAAAGTTATTAGACTTAATTGGTAAATTGTTTAATATAAATCTAATAATTATTAGAAACAAACTTAATTTTGATATAAAAAGAATTTTAAAAAATTAATTTAAAATATTTGATGATAATTTTAGATGAATCTAGTTAATTTTCTTTGGTATAATCTTTATTGGAAAAATAATAATATATTAAAGAAACATTAGATGAATTACTAAAGTAGAAACTTAATTTTATTTATAAAAAAAATGGCAAAAAAATTGATATAATGAAAACAAGTGAATAATTTGAGGAATCAGAATGCATAATTAGAGGATTTCATTAAATTATTGAAGAGTTTCATGGAGAATTAATTTAATTTGAAGAAGAGAATAGCCCAGAGATTTTTAATAATGTAAATTTATTAAGAATTTATAATTAAGAAAAGTTATAAGAATTGTAAGAGGAATTTAATTCTCATATTTAGTCTATAAAATTTTTAATGAATGAATTGTTTAAGAACATGAAGATTGTAGACAATTAAATGTTAAATTAGTTTTAAAATAGAATAGAAGAAGTAGCCAAAAAATAAAATTAAAGATTTTGTATAATCAAAGAACTTTTATAATAAAGTTAGATTCAAAGATTATATTAGAATAATGTTTCTAAAAAAATTGAAGAAGAGAGAAAGATTATTAATATCTATATCTTTAAAGAATTGTAAATGCTTATTGAGTTATACAACAGTAATATTAATGGAGAGAATTAAGAATAAAATAAATAAATGATAGATATTGAGTTTATGATTTTAAAAACTCTATATAATGTTGTATAGTATCATTTGATGAAAGAAAAACAAAATATTAAATAAAAATTTTAAAATATAGAAATCGCATTTTCTGAATAAAAAGCTCTCATAAAATAAATAGAAATATTATCTTAAGAGAATTATGAAATAATTTTATATTAAGAAAATAGGAATATGAAGGGAAAGAAGGTTTTTAATAATTTCCTTAAGAAAATTAAAGAGAGTTTTGAGGAAAAAAAAAAAAGTTTTTAAGAATTTAGTAATTTTTTAAAGGAAAAGAAAGCTGAGATAAATTTAAAATAAGACGAGGAGAGATTGTGTTTTTTAATTGAATAATATGAGAGTGAAATAAGTAAAGATTTTTAAGAAATTTAAAATCAAAATAATAATGAAAAGACAGGCTAAGAAAAGCAAGTGGAATATGAATAATTAAGAAATAAATTACAATATATTTGTTAAGAAATACTAATAAAAGGGAAATAGATATGTTTGGATGCATAAGGATATTATCAATAATTAATATTAATAATATTGAGTAAATTTTATCATATGAAAAGATATTATCAAAGATTAATATAATTTAATGATGCTACAAAAAACAAATAAATAAAGTAAGAGGATATAGAATTAATAAATTCTTAAAAAGATGAATTTATTTAATTAGAGAGCAAAGTAGATTATTATAGAAATGTAATATTTCAGAATCATTGTTAAAAGGTTTATATTGAAAATTTGCATGATGAACTAGATGATTTGGATAAGTAAATAGAATAAAAGAAAACTTATTTTTAGTTTGTAATTTAATACAGAAATGAAAGTAACCTAAAACAATATATTAAATAAAAAATAACAGTTGATTAAATTCAGAAGTTTTCAAATTACTTAGAATTTTCTAAACTTTTACCTTTTCAGTTAATATTATAGAACTCTATATGAAATATTTTTGTAGAATAAAATTTATCTATTAATTTATTAATTATTCTTTAATATTTGTTAATAAAAATTATCAAAAAGTCAATATCTGAGTTCTTTTTATTTTTCTAAAAGTTTAATTAAATTTTTCAACTAAAGGATAATATTTAAATAAAATACTTTATCATTAGAGTTGTTAAGATATTACTCTAATAATAACATTTTTTAAATTATGGTTTTATAAAAGTAATATTAAAAAAATATATTTATTAATTTAATTAATGATGTAACAACAAAATTACATTATTTAATAATTCATTACATTTTTTTATTAAATTAATCAAACAAATATATAATTTCAATCTAAATCTTTTACAATATATATAAATTAAAATTATAATAATGTTTGAAACAATATTAGATTTAACTTTTCATCTTCTATTATTACAGTTTTTATATTAATAATGACACAAACAAACATTAATAGCAAAGAATAAATATCAATTCTTTTATATAATATAAGAATTTATATAAGATTGTTTCTTCAAAATTGAAATTATTCAATGTATCACTATTTATACTAAAATCAGTACTGAATTTTAGTATCTTACAAACTGTTATAATTCCCTACTTATTGATCTACTTAAATCATTGAAAAAATATAATTGATGTATTTTTAGAACAAAATATATTAGATTAAAATTAATCATAATGCTAATATTTATTTTAATTATTAATATTATCATTTTTATTTCAAATGTAATTACTATCTTTTTGTTGTGATCCTCTTAATTTCTATGCCAATTATTTTACTCTTTAATATTAAACTATTGGACATAAATGCTTTGTTATATCATTCTATTTTAATAGCATTCTATATATTACTAATTTTAAATTTGGTTTTGGCAATGTTTTTGGTTCTTCTTCACTTAATAATGAATAAACTTCACTTATCAATTTCTCCAATTCTATTTTCTTTTCTGCACTCTTTTTATTATGAATATATTTTTATTCTATCATTTATACAGGCTTCTATTCTATTGAATTCTTTTTCTCTTATTATATTTATTATTATTATGGTTATTTCTTCTTTCTATTCAACAAATCTTAAATTTTTATAAATTGCTTCTACTCCATTGAAATATTATTAAAACTATAATATATATAGTCATTGTTATGTTTATTATTTAAATATTCTGGGTTTTAGATGTAATTCTAATATCATTATTTAACATTTACATCTAAAATTTAAGTTTGCCTTTACAATCTTATTTATAATACTCGAATGTTTAATAAGTTATATTCCTTTGATAATTATCTTATTCTTTTATTAATCTATCAATTCATAATATATTCTTTAATTACTTAAATAAAACATAGCAATTCCTTATCATTTAAAAATTGAGTTATAATTAACACTAAACTATCAACCCCTAAAACTCTCTCTGGATTTGTCAAAGGAGCATCAAAATTCCCATATGCTAATTGATTGAAATATTTTTTTATTAAAGAGTTCATTAATTAAATATAAAAGGAAACTTATTAATTACTAACAACAACTTTTATCACAAAAATATTATATTTTTTCTATTTTCAGAATCTATAACTCAAATTTTATATTTTTAATACAATATATTTTCTAATAATGTCAAATTCTTATTATCTATTCTTGATTATTCAAGATTGTTATTCTTCATTTTATTCATATATTAATTCTTATAGATATCAGATATCAAAAAAATTATAATTATAAAGCAATAGATAGCTAATTTAAGCACACTTTAAATTATTAGATTGTTATTTCAATTATAATTTTATCAGATTGATTAAATAATTTTTAAATTAGTCAAGAATAAATTAATGTATAATATGAATAATAAAATAGATTCTATCTTCGATGATTTAATTAAAATTTAAGTTTTTATTAAAATAGATTTTAAATAATACATACTATTTTTACAAAACCAGAAAAAATATAAATTAATTAAAATCATCGTTTCTTTAGGTATTTCATTTGCAATTTTTTAACTTCTTCATCAGAATCAGATTCATCATAATCTTTTAAATTAAATTTAATCTTAGGCATTGCTTTTGACCCAGCACTCTATTCTAATTAATTATTAGACATAATGTTTTCTCTAAAATCATAAAATTAAATATACTTATTATATGATTTTTATATAGAGGATATTAGAATAGATTATTTGTTGTTTGAAGATTACTATTAGGATTTCTTTTAGGATTAAGATTATTATGATAATTACATATATTATTATTATAATAATAAATTCTATTATTATTATTATTGTTATTATTATTATTGTTATTATTATTATTGTTATTATTGTTGTTGTTATTATTGTTGTTGTTATTATTGTTGTTGTTATTATTAGTATTATTATTACAATTATTATTATTATTATTATTATTATTAATATTATTATTGTTGTTGTTGTTATTATTAATATAATTATTAGGTAAATTAATCAATTCTAACGTATTTGATAGGACTTTCTGATTAAAAGGTATTGTTTGTATGGTAATTAAATTAAGAAACATCTTTTTGATAGTTAAAGGTTGGTGATTGAATTTATAAAAAATGATTTTTATCTGATTATTAATTTTATAAAGAAAATGGAGACAAAGATTGAGAATGATATTAATGATTTTCATGATGGGTGTTTCCATTGATATCTTAAATCATTGCTTAATTTCTTTTAATTTATCTTTTAATATCACTATCTTTCATAGATATAATAAGATCTCCTAAAGATTATTTCTTATTGGTAGAAATTTTGAAATGATTAGAATTATCTGAATTGTTAGAATTATTTTATGATATTATTTTATTAATGGAATTTCTTGTTGAATTTTACATTGATTCAATTTTATCACATAATATTTATTAAGCTAATTCTTCAATTTCTAATTCTTTTTTTTTAGATTAAGTTTTTAATTTTAATTATTCACTTAAGAAATCAATTTTTTAGACGGGTAAACCAACTCTTTTATGAGATGGATGAAATGTTTATTCATTTCTTGGAGGACTCATGGGTTATTATTGTTATATTGATTATGGTTTTTACATCTATATAAATTTGATATTATTTACTTATTAAAGTAGAGCTCTTTATAAATCAATAATTTAAGTTTGCATTAATTTGAGTTATTCAGATTACATAATAACAAGTCTTTCTGTGAGATGTTAATTTTATGGGAAATTGGCAGATTAATAACTTTAATTTGAATCTAAAGGTTATGGTAATGGTAGTTGTTTGACTGTACTTTCTTATTGAAATGATTATTCAATATTTTAAATAGGTTCTGGGGATGTGATTTTTTATTTATTAATATTAGAAGTAAGATTTGTTACTTTATTTGTATGATTAATAGGATTGTATAAATCTGATACTTTTTCAATAGAATGAAATGGTTAAGCAGATGCTAAATCAATTTAATGATGATCTAGATTAATAATTTTATCTTATGATCTTACAATTTGATATTATGGATCTTCTTGTATATTAACTTCAAAAAATTATGGAGATTGATTTTTTTGAAATTAAATAAATAGAAATTAATCATATTGATCTTTGCATATTCTTCTTGTTATATATGGACTACAAATAAACTCAGTTAACATAGTCCAAATATATTATCTATTATTTAATGGTTCATCATATTGATCATTAGAGTATAACCAAGTGCCTATTAATGGTAATTAAAATATTAAAGGATCTTAAATCATTAAAGGAAAGATTCTATTTGATTAATCTAAAGAGAGAAATCCAAATTTATATTCTACTTTTTCTTTTTTTTGACTTGATCTAGATTTAGTAATCATTTTAGTTAAAGGAGTTTCAACAAATTTATTTGTATGTCTTATTTCTTATAATCTAAATTTTATTGATGGATAATGTAATAATGTAGTTATTTGATTAGATTTCTAAAAGTATAATGCAAATCTAAATAAATTCAAAAAGAGTAAATCAATATTTATAGTATTGTATGAACATGCTTTTTAATTGAAAAATTAAACAATAGATTCAATGTTCCAATTAGAATTTGTGACAGCGAAATTCAATAAAATAGGATATAAGCTATCATTTTCTAATTTTCTATATAGTAATTAATAAATTATTTACTCTTTGTATGTTTCTTCAATATCATATGAAATGATATCGATTGAGATAGTATTATCAAATTCAAAGGAATTAGTTAATCCATATGCTTGTTTGAATTGCTGATGATATTTGATTTTATGTTGCAATTTATCATTAATGAAGATTGATGGTAAGAATTCTTCACTTTTTAATTCAATTTGAATAGATTTCAATTGATATTTTGTTATGTAATTATAAAATGAGGGTTAATAGGGAATGAAAGCCAGTAGTTGATTGAAGTTTTTAACATCTTATTCCAAATATTCCACTAAGTCTTATGTTTACATTTTGAATTTAAATATAACTAATTAATTAATATATCTGAATTTATATTAATAAAAGAGTAATAAAATATTAATACTATTTTATAAATATTCTATAAATAAGCAAAATTAAAACATTAGATCAAAACTATTATAAATATATAATCAAATTTATTTTAGAAATCTAAGAGTTATATAGAAGTTTTCAGAATAAGATAATCAACTATATTAATCAAATTAAATTATTCTTATCTGATAATTAATTCTCTAAATCTAATTAAAATCAACATTTCCTTAATCCTGGTTTCATAATTGGATTCAGCACATTATCTAAAATCATATATATTAAATTTGCTTCGTTAAAGTAAAAAGAAATCAATAAAATATATATCTAAAGATAAAAGTGTATTAAATCTCTATAATTAGAAATAGAAAGTTTGTATTAGATCAACTATCCTCAGTATGTAAAGTTGTATGAAATTTATCAAGTTGAGAAATCTCTATAATTTTATGACACATTAAGGAGAAAAAATACTCTTTAGAATTATATCAACAATTTTATAGATAATCAAGATTTTATTTATTGAATTGAAATATTTGAAATCTTAAAATATCATTTATTCAGATATCAAATTAGAAAATATCTTATTATCAAAATTTAATAACATATCTTCTATAACAAAACTGAATAGAAATTCATTCTATATACATAACTCCTAAAATATTTTTTAAAAGTTATCAATATTATAAATTAATTAAGAAGACTACTTAAAATCATTAAAATAACAATTTCAAATGGATTTATAAACCTTTAAATTTTTAATATATGAAAACCACCTAAATTTATTCAAATCTTTATTAGATTTTAATCCATAACAAATTCTCAACAGTTCAATGTCTAAAACACTCTTACTTTGCTTTTAAACTATTTTATATCATTCTTTAATAAATCTTATTAATGATTTCATAAATTTGTATTATTTCTTATTGATTTTCTAAAAACAAGATTAGAATTTTATTAGATCAGAATCAAAAACAAAAATCATCAAAATATATTACCTTAATTCATTGATTTATTGAATAAGATGACTTCAACATAATTTTAAGTAATAATGTTAAATAACAACACGAAATTTATGATCTTATTAATTTAATTCATAATTAAACATTTTTCTATAATCAATTCATGAATGAAAACAATTTAGACACATAACATTAATAAACCAAAAGTGCATAATCATAAAGAACTATTAAATCAGATCATATTGAACTATAAGTAAATGCTAATTATCTGATAACTGAAGAAAACTCATTTTCGAAAGTTCCTCAAACAAGAAAATCTGAATAATTATTCTGTTAAAAATGCAATATTCCTGTAGTTTCTGATATTTTTTATGAAATGGGAAAAGGAAGCTATGTAATAATCTTTATTTTACTTGCTTTGATAATTACAGCATTTTTTACTTTTATACCTTGCATGCTGAACAGATGCAAAGATGCATAACACAGATGTCCAAAATGTACAAAACTATTAGGCACTAAATAGTTTTTATATGGATGATAATTTTATTCATTTTTTTCTTTTTTAAAAAATGATGTTTTTTATATTAAATAACAATTTTTTCGAATTATGCTCATATCATTGTTTAGAAAAATAAGAACATTTTTATTTTATGTAAGTATTAGTATCTTTTTTGTTTTTAAAATATGAGTTCGAATAAATTTGTAATAAAAATAATAAATCATAAAAATAATTGCGACTTTGCAATANTCTTAAAATATCATTTATTCAGATATCAAATTAGAAAATATCTTATTATCAAAATTTAATAACATATCTTCTATAACAAAACTGAATAGAAATTCATTCTATATACATAACTCCTAAAATATTTTTTAAAAGTTATCAATATTATAAATTAATTAAGAAGACTACTTAAAATCATTAAAATAACAATTTCAAATGGATTTATAAACCTTTAAATTTTTAATATATGAAAACCACCTAAATTTATTCAAATCTTTATTAGATTTTAATCCATAACAAATTCTCAACAGTTCAATGTCTAAAACACTCTTACTTTGCTTTTAAACTATTTTATATCATTCTTTAATAAATCTTATTAATGATTTCATAAATTTGTATTATTTCTTATTGATTTTCTAAAAACAAGATTAGAATTTTATTAGATCAGAATCAAAAACAAAAATCATCAAAATATATTACCTTAATTCATTGATTTATTGAATAAGATGACTTCAACATAATTTTAAGTAATAATGTTAAATAACAACACGAAATTTATGATCTTATTAATTTAATTCATAATTAAACATTTTTCTATAATCAATTCATGAATGAAAACAATTTAGACACATAACATTAATAAACCAAAAGTGCATAATCATAAAGAACTATTAAATCAGATCATATTGAACTATAAGTAAATGCTAATTATCTGATAACTGAAGAAAACTCATTTTCGAAAGTTCCTCAAACAAGAAAATCTGAATAATTATTCTGTTAAAAATGCAATATTCCTGTAGTTTCTGATATTTTTTATGAAATGGGAAAAGGAAGCTATGTAATAATCTTTATTTTACTTGCTTTGATAATTACAGCATTTTTTACTTTTATACCTTGCATGCTGAACAGATGCAAAGATGCATAACACAGATGTCCAAAATGTACAAAACTATTAGGCACTAAATAGTTTTTATATGGATGATAATTTTATTCATTTTTTTCTTTTTTAAAAAATGATGTTTTTTATATTAAATAACAATTTTTTCGAATTATGCTCATATCATTGTTTAGAAAAATAAGAACATTTTTATTTTATGTAAGTATTAGTATCTTTTTTGTTTTTAAAATATGAGTTCGAATAAATTTGTAATAAAAATAATAAATCATAAAAATAATTGCGACTTTGCAATATATCTATGAAACATTCCAGACTCTTTTAATTCTTATTTTTATAATTCAATTCTTGTATCTAAATTCAATTTTCTACCTTCTTTTTATCCATTAGTATTTTATAAAAACTTAGTTTTTTTCCATTATTATGACATTTATTAATATCTAGCAACTGGATCAGATTTTTTTGGTAATGTATTAAATGATTTCTATTTGTAATTATATTTTTTTTGCATCTATTAACTTTAATGAATGCTAGTTGTATAAATAGGTTTATATGATGAAGAAGTTGATGGTCTATTTTCAATTTTACTAGTGTTTTTTAATTAATTTGTAGTTTCAGTCAAAACTTTAAAATTATTTACATTTAACTGAGATTTCTTATTTTCATTTTAATTGTTTTGTGGTAATCTAAATTTGATTCCATTTTTTTATATTTTATGATTATTTTGTAATTATTATTCATGTTAACTTTCATTATCATCATCATCATCATTATCCTCATCAACTTCGCTTATATTTTATTTATTATCAGCAAATTGTATAGCTTCAAAATCTTATTTATCATATTCTTAATATTCATCTTCTGGAATAGATGAGATGTCTTCATCACTACTATAATTTTACATGATTAATTATATAATTATATTACTAACAGTTAATTATTTAAATTTTAATATATAAACAAAAAATTTAGTAAACATTTTATATTAATTAATAAAAGATTGTATATATTATATAGATTCTAAAAGATTTATTATAAAATTTGTAATCATTTGATAAATGATTGTAATGTTAAATTTTTATGGGGGTGATTGATGGTAATATAAGGGGAGATTTATTTATTTATTAGAGAAAATTCAAAGGATTTTTTTAAAAATAAAATCTTGTGTGAAAATGAATAGTATTACTTTTAAAAGTGAAGAAGAGTTATAAGAATGTTCAGATAAAATTGAGAACGAAAGCTCGATTTTTTATGAGGAACCACATTATTCAGCTGATAATGAATAAGTATAATATTTGAGTATAATGTAATAGTAATGTGAAGAATTTTAAGATGAAATAGAAGTTAATAAAGTTTACACTCCTTAACAATTATCATCTTTAAAGAAAGTATGTGTAGTATTTTAAGATGAATTTATGTTGGATGAAGATCCTAAAAAGAAGGTATTCCTTGAAGAATGTACTACAAATGAGTAATCTGAGGATCATCCAGCATTAGGAGATTTAGAAATGTTAGCAGCTATGCTTTTAAAAGAAAATTAGAAAAAGTTCTCATATCCTAAGAATTTGCCAGTTCCAACAAATGTCGAATAACATTTAGAGGAATTAAAAATGAGATTCAATCCTTCTTAAAAATAAGAAGATTTCATTTCTACATATATTAAGACTGATGATTTACTTAGAATCAAAATAGGATTATGTGAAGAAATACTGAATGATGAAGAAACTTTAAAATTTGAAGATTGGGTTGAATAACTATGTACATCAACTAATCATGAATCATTAAAAGAGATGGCAAGAAAATAGAAAGTAAAACGATATCTTGAAAAAAAACATAGTCGAACTTACGAAAAGAAAGTTCATTATCATATTAGACAGAAGGTTGCTGAAGAAAGACTTAGAGTTAAAGGAAGATTTGTAACCTGGACTTAAGTAACTAATTCATTGATATTTATTAGGCTTTGAAAATGTTAGATCAATAATAAGATTCCAGAAAGTCTTGGACATATAATGATTATTTTAAAATCAAAAATTTACTTAATTAAAAGTTTGGGGCCATTAAAAGCGAAAGGTCTTTGAAAATTTGATTTTAAATATAATCACTTATGTATTTATAATAATAAATAATTAATTTATCTATTCATCATAATTCAATATGTTCATTCTCTTGATCACGTTCATGATTATTCCAATTATTATTTTAATGAATATCAACCATCTCTTCGTCATATTTTATTTGCTCTTTCTCAATTTTCACATTATTACTATTTTATTGTGGAATTGTGTTTTAGAAATTTAAACTAGGTTTCAATTTTTCAAATGGATTCTCCTATTCTATCAAATGCTATATTCATTCTAATTCTTACATTATCTGTATCTTAATCTTCTAAATCTCCATAATCTTATTTCAATTGTTATTTCTTAATTAACTCTTCATCTTTATTTGCTTATTGATATTAACTTGAAATCTATCCCGATTGCTCAATAGGATCTTATTATAAAAATTAAAAGCATTGTCTAGCAGACTATTAACAAAACTCATAAAGTAATGCTAATTTTCTTAATAACATTTTAAAAATTAAATTTATAAAACAATATATACATTATCAAAATTATCAATAAAGTTAAACACTTTAATTTTATTATCGAATAAATTTATACACTTATAATTAGACATCTTCTTTATTCTTTTATTTTTTAAATAATTTAGGTAGCCTCAAACTTTAAATTAAGCATACTCTCGAATCTATATTTTAACTTGGTGTTTTGTAATTTAAAGTTTATTATTAGTGTTATAATTATTATTATAGAATCTTTGCCTTTCTGCTTTATTGAATTTCTATTAATGGACATTCAAAATTAAGTTCTGATTTCTTTTCTTTTGAATGAGAAGTTATAAATTCATAATAATTTTAAATATTAGATGGTTGATGTTATATTTTACCTAATATCTCTTAAACAGCTTTTTAAGTTTTCCTTTCTGTATTTTTTTAAGAATGATTGAATTTATGTTATGATTATCTATTTTATAAAGTTAAATTGACTTAAGCCATCTTTTCTTCTTCATCTTAAGTTTTTACAAATAAACTGGGTGATTAAGTTAAGAAATCAAATCCACTAGCATGATTATAAAAATTTCCTAAGAAAATTTCTTTAGAGATTTTTTTATTTTCATCTAGTTTTTCAATCATTTTATTCAATTCTGATAAAGTTAATCCAGAACAACAATATAATTTAAATCTCTAATTTTAAATATATAAATAATTACATCAGCTGGTAAGAATAACATTTTAGATTTTTCAGTTAAACAAACAGCTTTTGATTATCGAAATTCTTAATTAGTGACAATTTCCAAATATCCAAATAATTATCCATATCCACATCTATTTAACTTTAATTATATATTTTTTTGACCTTTGATTAAATAACAATATATTACTATAAGATCTTTATAATCTTCTACCATATTATTAATCAATTAGAAATTCATTTTTAGTATTTTATGTTATTTCAATTTACCCTTCTAAAACAAAATAGACACCTCTATAAATAATAATATAATAAAATATTACTTGACAATTTCACCTTCTTTATAAATAAGTGTATCATAACAATATTCTAACGGTTAGAGATGATATTGCATTTAACTTAATTCGGCATCATTCCAAGATTTAAATATTTGAATAGATTTAAGAAATTCAAAATTTTTTTATTGGATTCTATTATAATATTCAGCTAAACATAATATATGTATAATGTAAATACATAAAAATTTATTAAATGCTTCTCTTGATAAGGTAATAAATTGTGAATTCTCTTTACAAACAATAGTTGCTTATCTTGGAATAAAGTTAGTAAGAGCTATTTCACCAAAACTACCACCAGATGTTATTTATCCAACTTTCATTAAATTTGGATATTTTTAATTTAACATACTTTCATCATCTAATTCAATAAATTCATATTCATCCTACAATGATAATTATAATAATTACTTAACATGTTCCTTCATCTATATCAATTTTATCTTTGTTGTTTTCATCTTTTTTTTAAAATGTACCACTCTATAAACCTGATCTTGCTACTAAAACCTATAATTATTATATTATTTGATACCCAAACTGAACCACTTAAAATTATATAAAAGTTCTTTCCTATATCACCTAAACGAAACAAAGTTCTTCTAGCAGGTACTTCTATATATTACAATTCCTTTATTAATAATACTAATTATACTCTAAATAAATTTAACATTTCATCTTCACTCGTTGTCTTTCTCATTTCTTAAAAATATTTTATTGTTTAAAATGCCATTGCCAATAATTATAAATCATTACTATTTCTCTATTTTTTTGGTTTCTCTAAAATTCCAACAATAACCTTATTATTCAACTTTAAATACTTCAAAATGTTCTTTATCTTATAAATCTACATACTCTTTAGCTAAAATCTCTTTAACTTAATGTTAAAGATGAAGTTACTATTTTATTTTTTCGATGTTTGATAATTAATGACTCATTATTTTTTTATTTTATTATAATCTCTTAATTATTATAACAAAATCATTATATTTAACAAATTTATTTCTTATTCTATTCTATTCTCTTAATAATGATTTAAATAAATCATCTTGATATTCTCTATTAATATTTTATACGACAAATATTTAGAATATTTTAATATATACATATTTAATAGAATTTAAACTCTGTTCAATTCCTTTCTCTTTATTTCTTTCATAGAATTTATGCTCTTATTATTAATTAATATATATATAAATTCAAAATGATTTAATAGCAGAATCAAACATTCAAATACCCATCAATTAACTATTTCAATCCAAATTCTTCATTTAGAAGATATGTAAAAGTTGAAACTCCAACTTAATCTATTAATGAATGTAAAGTAGAGTATAACCAACGCTCATCTATTTCAACTGAAGGATCTTATGACTATTCATAATCTTTAAAAATAAATAAAAAACTCAAAATAAACAAAAACAAAGATAAATAATTACCATAAAAATCAGAAACCAAGAATATACCTAAAAATTTTGGAGTATTATTAAAAAAATATTTATGTACTTTCATTCAATTTTTTTATTTAGGTAGTAAAAATGTGGATAATTAAGCAATCAAAGCATTCTTAAAGAATGGAGAACACAAAAAGAATTTCTCTAGATAAGATTTTACTAGACTTTTTAATGATCCTCTTGCTGCTGACTTATCTAGAGACTATTTCTCAGGATTTTAAATTATACATGATCTTATGATAAGTGAAAAAATTTAGGATGTCAAAAATCATCTCAAATATATAAGTAAATTTTATAATTCTACTTATAATAAATAAGAGCTTGATGAACTTAAGTTATAATGAATTTATTTAAATTTTTTGTTAGTTTATTAAGTATCAAAAATTCTATTTTTATTTCAATATAATTTATATTCCTTTCATTTTATATTTCATTCACTCACATCTATATTCTATTACTAAATATATTATAATATCTTCTAATTTAATCACTATTCTTAATTAGTACTATTTTATTTTAGAAATCATCAGAATTTTAGATTATTCTATTCTTAACGATTTTCAAAAAAAATTATTTTATTCATTTTATCAATAACATGGATTAACATAATCATTTTAAAATATCAAGATAAATTAAAAGAAATAAGGATATAAATATCAAAGATTCCATTTTTCAATATGCAGAATAATTAGCTTAATCTTATCCTACTACATATTATTCTGTGAAATAAATAAACTAGCCTTTTCAATCTGTTCGAAAAGAAGATTTAAAATAATTAAAAGAATAATATGTTTTCAGACTATACAGAGATATTTCTAATAGAAGATATAGTATGAAAAATACAGGTTAATCATAAAAAAATACTAAAATTATTATGGATTATGATTTTCCACTAAAATGAATTTTTTTTTTATGTTTATAGTGAGTTAAAAAAATAAATTAATAAAATCTAACACTAATCAATTTATTTATCCTCCTGCATGTTCTCTTAATATCTTATATATGCAATACTGTATCTATGAATTTTGCTTCATTAAATCTAGATTCTTTTTAATAAATATTCATAATTCTTTTAAATTTTCTTAGAAAAAAAGTTTACCTAATGAGTAAACCTTCTAAGAACAAAAATTATTCAATATAAAAGAGTTCTTCTTTGAAAAATCTCCTAAAAATGGAAAATGATTTCAAAATATATTACCTTTGTTTCATTTAAATTCAAAATATAATAAGATAAAATCCTTTGCTTTGTTTCTTAATTTATATAATGTCTTTCGTTCTTAAATTTAGTTTTTATGTAAATATCAATTTTAAGCCTATTTATAAAAATCATTCTTAATTAGCTATATTTTTAAAATAAATAAACGTTTTGAATTCCTTGATCTTTTACATTCAAAAATTTTAAATTATTTCCTGAATATTTATCTTTCTTCTAAAATGATTATAAAAGAAAAGAAAAATAGGGTTTTAGATTTTAAAATAATTTATAACTAACTTAAATAATGCTTATATTTAAAAAAATGATGAGTTTACTTTTATCATTGCAAACATTTATTCATGTAATTTGAGGTTGAATAACAAATTTCTTATTATTGCTAACAGAATTTAAATAAGAGGGTGGAGATGATACTTCTTGATTAAATATCTTTATATTTTAAAAATATTTTTACTATTTCAGATTATACTACTTAAATTTGGGTTGTTTCTATCAAAACTCTTAATATTTTGTGTGTTTTTATAGTGAAATTATACATGATTATTGCTGCAAGTTGTATAAATTCTTTTTATTCATCAATTAAGATTTGAATGATATATTAGTATAACATGAATGATTATGCAATCTTCTTTGCAATCCATTTTGAGATCTTCAAAAAAGTGTTTCATTTTTTTTAACAAGAAAGAATAAGAAAAACAATGAAAACACTCATTCTAACATATATTTTTTAATTTAGTATTAAACAAGATTTTTAAATTGTTATTATATCAAGGCTTAAACTTAATACACAAGTATATGATTAAATATCATCTTACAAATTTGTTTTTCTTCTTTTACATCATTTAATCTTAATAATTTTTAGGAATATATATATATACAGTTTTAATGAAGCAAAATAAGGCTAATAAAATAGATTTAGAACTTTTCTAGAAAATTTAAATCAATGAATCAAATGTTAATTTATCATGGGTGTTAAAATTTCCAAATTGTCATGAATTATAATCATCAATTTTGCAAATGCCTTTCATAGACCTTCATATTGAGATATAAAATTACGATATATATGGAGCATGTCATATAATTGTAAATAATCAAATATAATACCCTTATTTACAAATTGCAGAAGGAATGCTAGTATATTAGAAGAAAAAAAGTCTATTTTTAAGCGATTGTGTTATTGAAAAAAAAAAATTTCTTTGTAATTAAAACCAACTATTTTTAATTAAAATCTCTAATAATCAAGGTCGATTAATTCTTGTATTCGTCCATCCGATATCATAAAGAGAATGGTTTAAGATACTAAAATTATCAGCTAAATAAAATAACTTTCTTTCAAAATATCGAATAAATGAAATTCTCATGTCAAATATTTTTTCTGTTCTCCAAAAAAGAAAGAATAAAAAATATGTAGCTTAAATATTCAAAAAAAAAGATATTAAATAATAAGAATAGTATGAGATCATCAACAATTATATCAAAATTCTGAGAAGCGGAAAAATTATTAACTATTACCCAGTCTTAAGTATTTTTGATGATAGTGAAAGTATTTCAATAATTACTTATTAATTCTATGGAACAACTTTAGAATCATTATTAATGAGTTCTTAGAAAGCTGTTCCTCAATCAGATTTAGCATTTATATTTTATTCTATTCTACAATCTCTAAGAAGTTTATAAGATGAAGAATTATTCCATGGACATATTTGTTTAGAGAATATCGTAATGGCAAATGTATTGGGATCTTTGTAGATTTATTTAATAAACTCAAACTATAAAGTAAATAAATGAAACTAATTTATAGCCGTATAATGTTAATAATTTAGAATTTTATTTAAATTCTATTCCGAATTATTTATTAGCTCCAGAAATTCAAACTTGCTAGGATTTACCATCAGTGAAATCAGATATTTATTAATTAGGAATGATTTTTCTTATGGTGAGTTTTTATGCAAAAGGTTCAATTTTTAACCGATAATACATATCGAAAATATTTTAAAGTAGAAAAGAACTTATCAAATAATAGGAAGTTAATTTTCAAAAATGTCGAAATTCTGATTTTCCTAATCTATATAGTGCTTGTTAATTAGACTTAATTAAGAAGATGATTGAAAATGATCCAGATAGTAGAATATCTGTGAATGATGCTATTAAACATGCATGGTTTATAAATACAAAGGATAAATTAAAATCTTAAAAGATATAATAAATGAATCGCAATTTGCCTAGTTTAAGAACAATCATAGAAATGGTTGAGTAAAGTGAATAAGATATAAGAAGAAAATCATTTTAGGTAAGTAACTTACAATGTAGCAAAAAGAAATTAGAATGTGCTACTTCTATCTAACAATTCGATTTTAACGCTTTTCAATAATAATAAGACACAAGTCCAATTGCGAAATCTTTTGAAAGTTAAAATGAAATTATAGATGAAGAGCATGAAATAAGTAATTTAATATTGAATCTTAATAACAAATAATATCGTATGATGCCATCTTTCGAAGATAAAAATTAATATTAAATAGTTTAGCCTTAGAATTAACTACCTTAATTTCAAGACTGATTAATAATATATATTTATTTCTTTATTCCAATATCTATATTAAAACAGTTAATTATGACATAATATGAACAGGAGTTGATAAATTAATTAAATTATAAAAATTACATATTATTAATATGGGGGTATTTATTGAAGTCTTTCATAATATAAAAGTTATGTTTGTTCAATATCAAAAACCTGTATATAAATATTTTTACCCTATTAAGATGAAGGAAATACTTTAAGAATTATTCAATCCTCCATCTTGTTCTCATATCTCAAATGACTATATAAAATAAAGTGACACATTAGAAACATTTAGTAATTTTGCTTTAAACAATTATTAAGAATGTAATTCCACACTTCAAGTATTATTTATATAATTAAATAGGCTAAAAAATATTCAAATATACATAACAAAAAGAAAATCAACAAAGAATTAGAATTAAATAATAAACATAATTGTGGTCATTGGACACCAGAAGAACATTAAACCTATGTTGAATTTTTGGAAAAACATCACACTTCAACTATGTAAAATTAATAAAATAGAAAAAACAATAAAATCTTTAAATTGATGTCTGAAATTATTGGAACTCGTTCACCTTCTTAATGCAGGTACAATAATGAAGATTATCAAACAATAGATCTCATCATTAAAAATTCAATCCATACACGCCCGCTGGTTAGAAAAGAATAAAGAAAAACAAGAAAAAATTTAGTATTAATTAATAAATTATAATATTAGATACTGAAACTTAAATCAAATTGTGTATAACCAATTAAATTTTACAGTATTTCACTCCAGATTTACGACCGATTTAAGGTTTTTATTAAATTTATCATAGAACTTCTACCAAACATTTAAGATTAAGATGAATAATAAGAATACATTTGCGAGGAATCTTAAAGACTCAGAATTCGAAAATATTCACTTGATAATCTTGAAGATAGTTATAATTTCAATCATCCTCATATCAATTAATTTTTTAATGAATAATGTTATGATTGACAATACCATTAATGTTATTTATTATAACCATTATTATAATTTATTAAAGAATTTTAAAACTGTATGGACATAAACATACAAAAAGAAAAACATCAAGAAAGGAGAGAAAAAGAAGATAAAATTCATAATAATTTGATAAAACAATCTTTAAAAAATTATAATAAACAATTAAAAATGGGTTTAAACACAATTCCTAAACTTCAAGAATTTAATTTTAAATTGTTAAAGCCATTTTATATATAATTAAAAGATCCATTCACAGGATATTGGAATAAATAAGTACCAAGAGATTATAATAAAGTAAAAAGTTAACAAAAAAAAGAAGCAGATCTTAATAAATTATTTTGATATATAATAACTATATATCATAATGTTTGATTTTCTCTTTATTCTTTATTATTTGTTTCATACAAAATTATGAAAGAGCATAAATTAGTTGATGGAAATGTTTTGACAAATAAATTACTTGGAACAGTAAATTCATCTTAATTACATAAAGGGAGCTTTTGGATCGGTTTATAGAGGATATAAGGAGAATGATCCTAAATTGATTGTGGCAGTTAAAATGTTACCACCAATTACTATCTTATATTTTATTACATAATGGTATTATATAATTGCTATAATTAGTGATTTTGGATTAGCAAGAGTAGTTGATGACATGGAAGTCAAGAAAAATTTACTATACTTGGAACTCCTTTTTATATGGCTCCATAAATATTAGAATAAGGTAAATTTAACTCAAAGTGTGATATTTGGTTAATTGGTATTATGTTTTATGAAATGCTTTATGGTCATCCTCCATCGACAGCAACCAGTCAATTAGCATTATTAGTTTAATTTAAAAAAAACCATTAACTTTTCCTAATCTTCCAAAAAGATAATAAATAATCAAAGATCTTATTTCTAAAATGTTAATCATTGATGAAGAGCAAAAAATAAATTGGTATGATTTATTTGAAAATGAATTAATTAAATGCAATAGTTAACAACTTAAAAATAAACTCAATCTTATTATAGATAGTGTTTAAGATATTTTAGAACAATCTGTATATTGATAATAATCTTATTCTTGCTTAAGGGAAAAATTAAGAAACCTAAGTATTATTTGCAGTTAAAAATGACGATGATAACATAATGAGTATAGAATAAAAAGACATATACCCAATATTTCGGTATCTAATAACTGAAAAAATAAAAAATAGATGTATTAAATTTCAAATAAATAACAAATTAAACATCGAAAATTTATTATATTATTTTCTTTAATTATCTCTTTTATAGCTTGCTTGACTTTTAAAAAAACTCTTAATTTCACTAAGTTTTTTTATTTTATGAAGTTTTCTTGACTTACAATTTGTTCTTAATGTACTCATAATTTTATTCAATTTCTAGTATCCTTATTTTATTGTAATTATGAAATAGAATATTTTCGAGTTTCTTAAATAAATCTTAAACTATTATTCTTTTTCTGTTGTTTCTTCAATTTATTGATTTTATTTATTTGGAAAGACCTAAATATAATTATTTTCCTATGATTTCTGTTATTTCAGTTATTTCTCCGTTTATTTATTTACATCTTACTCAATTCTTTGATAATATTCTATTAAGTCATATTACATGATATAGTTAACTAAAGAATATAATTTTTAATATGATTGAGAATTAATTGTAAATAGGTTGTTGAATCTTTAAATTTAAAAAGTCTTAGGAATTATCAATAAGCAATAATTTATTTATAAGATTAAGTCTTAAATTTAACTTGTTATTTAAATAATTTTGATGAACTTGCCTGTTAATTTATATGTATCAATAAGGGTATTATTAATATCAAAGAATTACAAGAAATTTCGTATTTTTATGCATTTTTCAATACTTTCTCTATTTCTTAGGTTTTTCAAATGTGATTCATTTTATTTATAAATTCACTTAATTACGGATCTATATTTTTTAATTTTTATATTCTTTCAGCATTTATTAATTCAATTTATTAATCGTGATGAATTTATTCATGCAATTAATCATATTATTTTTCAAATTCTTTTAAATTTTGATTGATTGAATCTTATATTTAATTGAATTATTGATAATTTTCAAATAGTTCTTAAGTTAAAAGTAATTCCATAGAATTTAATTTGCCAAAACAATCTCCTATTTGAATAATAANATACCCAATATTTCGGTATCTAATAACTGAAAAAATAAAAAATAGATGTATTAAATTTCAAATAAATAACAAATTAAACATCGAAAATTTATTATATTATTTTCTTTAATTATCTCTTTTATAGCTTGCTTGACTTTTAAAAAAACTCTTAATTTCACTAAGTTTTTTTATTTTATGAAGTTTTCTTGACTTACAATTTGTTCTTAATGTACTCATAATTTTATTCAATTTCTAGTATCCTTATTTTATTGTAATTATGAAATAGAATATTTTCGAGTTTCTTAAATAAATCTTAAACTATTATTCTTTTTCTGTTGTTTCTTCAATTTATTGATTTTATTTATTTGGAAAGACCTAAATATAATTATTTTCCTATGATTTCTGTTATTTCAGTTATTTCTCCGTTTATTTATTTACATCTTACTCAATTCTTTGATAATATTCTATTAAGTCATATTACATGATATAGTTAACTAAAGAATATAATTTTTAATATGATTGAGAATTAATTGTAAATAGGTTGTTGAATCTTTAAATTTAAAAAGTCTTAGGAATTATCAATAAGCAATAATTTATTTATAAGATTAAGTCTTAAATTTAACTTGTTATTTAAATAATTTTGATGAACTTGCCTGTTAATTTATATGTATCAATAAGGGTATTATTAATATCAAAGAATTACAAGAAATTTCGTATTTTTATGCATTTTTCAATACTTTCTCTATTTCTTAGGTTTTTCAAATGTGATTCATTTTATTTATAAATTCACTTAATTACGGATCTATATTTTTTAATTTTTATATTCTTTCAGCATTTATTAATTCAATTTATTAATCGTGATGAATTTATTCATGCAATTAATCATATTATTTTTCAAATTCTTTTAAATTTTGATTGATTGAATCTTATATTTAATTGAATTATTGATAATTTTCAAATAGTTCTTAAGTTAAAAGTAATTCCATAGAATTTAATTTGCCAAAACAATCTCCTATTTGAATAATAATTTAATCTATTTTTTATTTATATTTTTAATTCTTATATAGATATTTAAATTTATCCTATAAATCTTTTAAATTATCAGCTAATTCCTATATTTATCTACGATGTTCATCAATAAATTTACTATCAATTTATTCAAGAGATGTATTTGATTCATCAATAGATATTTTAAGTCTTTTTTAAGCTTATTAAAGTTCCTCAATATTGCTATTAAAGGATTAATAATTGAAAATTTAGCAAGATCGCTCAAGTGAATTCATCATTTTCTCTTATTCTTCCAGAATTTAAAAATCTGAAATCAATTTTTAGTAATACAATATAACTTCCATCAATTTCTCTTATCCATATTTTTATTATTAAATTTCGTCATAAAACTTTATTTTTTACTTAAATTTTCGAATATTGTCTGAAAATGGAATAAATTGTTATTTTAAATCAGTAAATTATGATTAAAACTTATTTATTTCTTAATTAAATATGTCTTCTTGTTTTTTATCTTCTATTCTTTATTACTCAATCTTTTATTAATCATTTAATTTCTTTAAAAATAACATTTATTAATCTGTGATATTATTACCAAGCTGAAAATATAGTTATATCAAGCTTCCAAATAAAATTTTCCACAAACGAAGATAGATGGATTAGCATTCTAAAATTAAGGTATTTACTTTTGCATTATAATTATTTTTTATTATTAAATGAATAAGATATTGATAGATTTATAAAAATCTTAATGTATAATATACATCAATTTGAATATCAAAATGGAGGTAATAATTCTTAATAAATAATTATAATATGATTTATAATTAACATAATAGTAATTAATTAATATATTTATAGAATAATAAAATAAAATATAAATAACAATGTCTTAATAATAGCAGAATTTATCAAGTTTTTTGGAACATAATTTGGATCCAATAACAAGTAGATATATAATGGGAAAGTATTTAATGATGGATGGAGGTGAATAATCATTAGATTTAAGACATATGTGTGATAATGTAAAATTGGAAATGTAATTGATTGAAAAAGAGGCTGCATATGATTATTTAAAAGTAAATATATGGGGAATAAGATAAGGTTGAAAAAGAGATGTATGAATTGGATAGTGAGATTGAAAAAAGTGATGGAATTTTAGGAGAGTTAGAAAATGTATTGCTTAATTTTAAGGATTATTTGAATGATATAAAATCTGAGATGACTTAATTATAAGAGAGAAGTGTTAAAATGAATACTTCATTAACAAATAGAAAAGCATTGTCATAAATTTTATCTAGTTTTGTAGATTAAGCAGTACTTGATCCATCTTTAATTGATAATATATGTAGTAAAGAGATAAATGAATAGTATGTAGAATATATAAGAATTTTATGTTCAAAATTAGAGTATTTAAAAAATACTGAATTAACAGATGCAAATGCTGTAAAGAATTTAGGACCAGAATTGATAAAATTAAAAAATACAGCATGTAAAAGAGTAAGAGAATTTATGATAGAAAAATTGAATCAATTAAAGAAACCAAAAATAAATATTCAATAATATTAAGTGTAGGAATTAATTAAGTATAAGATATTTACAGAATTTATGAAAGATCATTATTTAGATATATATGTAGAATTATGTAATCTTTATACAGATGCGATGAGTAAATTATATTTGAGTAATATGAAAATATATGTTGGAGAGATACATAAATTAACAATAGATGTTTATTTAAGGAATGATCTTATAGTACCTGATAGTCAATAAAATTATAGACCTTAATTAAATTTAAGAAATGTTGTTGGATTGACTATTGAAAATAGATCTATATTTTAATTAATGAATAGAGAATAAATACTTTAATTTATGGATGAAGAACCTTTGTTACATACTTAATTAAATTAAAAAAATTAGAAAATTCTAATTGAATAATATTTTAAGACAATTAATAAAGTATTAATTGATACTGTATTGCATGAAGATAGATTTAGTTAAGACTTTTTTAGTTTGAAAGCTGATTAAAATAGATTAATTTTTAGTGGTGTTTTTAAGAATACTATTTAATTTTTATTAGATCATTTAAAATAGACAGTTAGTATATTTGATATTTATGCCTTTTTATTAATCATATTATTGAATGAAAGATTTTAAAAACATATGCATTCTAAAAATTCACATGTTTTAGATTTTTATTTTGAATAAGTAAATATGATTTTATGGCCAAAATTTGAATAAGTGTTTGATACACATATTTAAAGTATTTAGAGTACAAATGTAAGATTGTATAGGTCTTTAGAAAAATATTATGGATTTAGAAGTTTTGTAATGAGATATATAGATTTAACATTGTCATTATATAAATTATATGCATATTTTGAAGATAATAAAATGATAGTGAGTAGAATAAATTAATTAAGATTAAGATATTTTGATTTAATAAAAAGAAGTGGAGCAGAATTTGAGATTGAAGTAGATAGAATAACATATACATTATCAGTTTATGAAATGATAGTTTCTGCATATAATACAACATAAATGAGCACATTAAAAAAAGAATTTTAAGAAGAAACATTGTTTTTAGAAAAAGAAACAAATAAATTTAGTGAGAAATTAATAGAAATATATTTAAAAGAATTATTTGGAAATCTTGTTGATTTTATATAGAAATATGCAAAAGATGAAACAGAATTAGAATCTAATTAATTATCAGAGGTTAGAGTTGTAGAAAAGGTTTAGAATATTAATTAAGTAGACAATAAAAAATTAATAGAAAATATTAGTTAGGTAAAAATATATAAATATAAATAGGATGTTAATTTATCATGGAATAAGAGAGTTGATGTTTTTAGATTGGAATGTGAGAAACATTTTTAGGGAACTAATTTATTAAAAAGTTTATTAAAGAAATTTTTATAGACATTTATGGCTTATTATAATGCATTTTATAAATATGCAAAAACTAACCATCCAATTTATATAGCAAATTTGACTTAAGTAACTACAATAATGAAAGAGATAAAAGCAATATAAACAAAATATAATATGTGAATTTATAAATAAATATTAAGAATATATAATAATATACAATATATAAAAAAGATGTGATTTAATAATAATTATATAAATAATATATTTAAATAATTTAAATATTGAATTATAATGTTATTTCAAAACTAGAATAATAACAATAATAAACCAGCAATTCATCCTAGATTTTATCCAGGTAATCCTGCATTAAATAAAAATGCTGATGGACTACTTTGTTCTATTAATACAACATAAAATAATATTTAAATCTCTCGAGCTGAAACAAGAGTAGAGTATTATCGAAATTAAAAATAACCATCTTAATAAATGGGTTAAGGTGGATTTTAATAATAAAATACATAAGGAAGTTTATTCGGAGGTGTATAATAACCATAATAATAATAATAATCAACATTATTTGGTTAGTAAAATACAGCATAACCATCATTATTTGGATAATAATAAACAGGATTAGGATTAGGAACAGGATTAGGAGGAGGATTAAGTACAGGATTAGGAGGAGGATTAGGAACAGGATTAGGATAATAATAATAAACACAATAAAATTAAACAGGATTAGGTTTAGGTACATCAGCAACTCCTTTTGGAGGTGGTTTAGGAACTGGATTAGGAGGAACTGGATTAGGAGGAACAGGATTAGGAGGAACAGGATTAGGCACTGGATTAAGTACTGGTTTAGGTACAGGATTAACTGGAGGATTAGGAACATTAGGAGGAGGTTTAACAGGTGGATTAGGATAGAATACATAAACATAATAAACAGGACTAGGATTAGGATTTGGATTAGGATAATAATAATAAACAACAGGATTATTAGGATTAGGAACTAATTAATAATAATAATAATAATAAGGATTATTAGGAGCAGCACCTTAATAAGGAGGATTATTATTATAATAATAACCAATACAATAATAATAAACTTAAGGATTATTTAATTAATAATAATAAGGTTTAATTTAATCAAATTGGACTACTAATCCAGCTGGAGGATTTAATTAAAATCCTTTAAATTAATAAACTTAATATAATCCAGCTTATCCTATGTATTAATAATAATAAGTTGATTTGAATGTCGATTTTGATATTAAAAATGAATAAGAACATTTAAGAGAAATTGAAGATGAATTTAAAATGAAATTTCCTACATTTAGTGAATATGCATCATAAAATCATGTTACTTTTAGTGTAGGAAATGTTAATTTAAAATTTAAAAATCCTTCTTTAGAAATTAAAATTAAATCAAAAAATAACTCAAAATAAAAAGAAGAAATTAAACCATGGTATATGTCATTAAAATAAGAAAAGGATTAAAAATAATATAAATAAAAATTGAATAAATAAATTTATAATAAAAATAACAAAAAAGATATTGATGATTTTAATTAATCTAGTATTGTTTAAATTAAAACAGAATAATAATAAGAAATAAATAAAATCAATCCTAGAGCTCCTAAATGTAATAATTATAATTTAAGTCCAAATATTTAAATGATATAAGAAATGTCTGATAACTAATTAACAAGAATAAGAGATTTTAAGATTTCAAATTAATATGGTTGCATTCATTTTTTAGAATCTATTGATTTGAAAGATTTAAATATAGATTAAATTGTTAAATTAAAATAAGACAGTGTAGAAGTATAATATTAATTTATATTTAGTTTTATCCTGAAGATCAATTTGAATAAATTCCTGAATATGGAAAAGGATTAAATGTTAGATGCAGAGTTGTTCTTTATAATTTTGCATGTGAAAATAGAAATATGTGTGAAATAAGAATAAACAATAAAAAAGAATTTGAAAAAGTAGTAAAAAGTTGGATGGAAAAGAACAATATGAAGTTCATTTCAGCTGGAGATGATGTTGTATTTGAATTAGATCAATTATGATTTTGTTAAGTTTAAAAAAATAATTATTTCATTTTTTTAATTAATTTATTTGAATAAGATATATATGATTATAAATTATAAATCATTACAATTCATATAAAGTTTATAATATACGAAACAATATTATTATTATATGAATAAATTATAAATCTAGTCTATTCAATATTAAACGACCAACAATAGAACAAAGATCAAAACTAACAAAAATAATGTGCATCTTTGGACGAGCTCGAAAATTGCAGTATTAAATTTAGAGATCTTGATTGGTATAATAAAATATTTATGTTTCAAGACCAATAGATCATAAAGGGATAAGTAAGAAAAATTAACCTGATAGAGTCAGATCATTTAATGGTACTGTTTATTCTTAAAGAATTAGAAGGAAACTAGAAGAATTTGAAATTATAAGAATAGGGTCTAAATAAGAATATCTTATGGGTTAAAGATAAATGGAATGGACAATTATAATCTATTAAAAATAGTAATAGATTTATATAATATTTTATTAAATGAACAAAAGGTAAGTTTTTGAATATTGTTCAATAACAATGTTATAAAGGGTAATAAAAATACAAAGAAAATAATTTCATTCTAACATTCTCTAACTATATAATTATTTTGAAGATAAAGAAAATGTATATTTGATTTTAGAATACATAGGTATTGATAAAATATAAATTAGAAAATGGATCTTTATTAAATAAATTAAAAAAGAGTTTAAACTTATTTAGGAGTAAATTATTTCCATAAAAATAAAATGATTCATAGAGATTTAAAATATAAATTGATTTGCCAGAGAATCTATTGTAGAATAATGAAGGGATAATAAAGATTTGTGATTTTATTGGAGTGCAGAAAGTTTAACAGAGAAATGTATGAAATTTTGTGGTACATATGAATATATGGTATTCAATAAACAGTATATAAATAACATGTTAAATAAATAATAACCATATGATTTTAGTCTTGATGTTTAGAGTTTAGCTATCGTATTATATGAACTCGTATGTGGGAATGCTACATTTAGAGGTAGAAATAATGAAAAATTGTGTTATAAAATTAAATCAGGATAACCAATTAATTTACACCTATAATATCCCATGAAGTTAAAACTTTTATTAAAGTAATCTTAAAGTATATTTCATCCGAAAGATTTTCTATGAATTAAATCTTTGAATATCTATGGATGATTAATATGCTATCTCAATTAATATTGACATCAATACTTTCATTTATTAACTTAATTCCTTCCTAAATAAATTCCAATTTAAATCTTTCCCTAATAAACCTATGGAAATATAAAAGAAACATTCTTCTTTCAAAACAATGTATTCAGATCATTCCAAATTTAAAACTCAAGAATAATAACCAAATTATTCTTAAAAAGATTAAATTCGATTAGATGATTTTTATAAACCTTGAATCACTAAAATCTCTAATGGAAATGAAATTTTATTAAATTAAAATTAATTGTAATATTAATAACCATAAAAATAGAATTTCATTAATAGTAGAGTTTTAGCGTTTGCATGTCTAAATAGAGATAAAAAATAAAAATTACTATTGATTATATATAATTTATTATATTAATTATCATCTGCAAAATCAAATATTATATATTAAACATGAAAACTATTAAAGGTATTGGAGTTGATATTGTAAATAACTAAAGAATGTTAAATATTATCTAAGCATAATATGCAGAAAGATTTTTATTCAAAGTACTTCATCCATAAGAAATTTAACAATTCAAATCTAAATCAACAATTTAACTGTAATAATAATTTCTAGCCTCCAGATGGGCTGTAAAAGAAGCTCTTGTTAAAGCTTCAAGTTTTAAAGAATTAGTATTTCCAGAAGTAGAAATTTGTAAATAACATTAAAAACCAAGCATTATTTTACATAATGCTAATTTAGAATATTTCTAACAAAATTTTGGAAATTAATTTGAAATCTAACTTAGTATTTCACATGAAGATAATTATTCTATTGCATTTGTTATTTTGTTGATATGATTATTTATATTATGTTTAAGAATATAATTATTATATTATAACAATGGTTTTATATTAAATTTTATTAAAAAATAAATATGCATATATAATTAATGATTAATTCAAATAATTATGTATAAATCAAGATCTTTTGATTATATTTCCTTTATTAATAGAAGTCAGTTATAAAGTCATTGACTTCTAATTAGGATTGATTCTAGATTTAGGTCTTGTTTAATTTGTTATTAATTCTTAAGTCTTATCTAAAGATAATTAATATTGTCTTTCATCCATAGATTATTTTGTTCTAATAATTATATGATTTTTTACTTAGTTAAAACTTCTTATGCTTCAGTAATTGATCTATTTTTTCGATGGTTTAATTTTATAGCAAATGCTTAATTTTGAAAACCATTTTAAAAAATGGATGACCTATATTTATTTTCTAAAATAATTGTTTGTTTAGAATTATCCAGATAGTTTTTATCCTTCCTAATATTTTAAGATTCATTTAATTCTTTTTTCAATAGAGCTATTTCTTTTTATTAATTCTAATAAATATAAATGATTATGTTACATTGATTTAATGTTTATAATCTTTTTCAATAATAATCTGTTAATCATATAGCTCTTATACATTTTCACAATAAAGCTTCAATCTCTATTCTGTCTATTTGTTAATTTTCTCTTCGATACCCTAATATGATCTCTGCATTATCCTTCGTAATTCTACAATTGTTCTTCCAATTAAGCGTACTATTGATTTAAATTGTTTAACAATCTATAATAATATTATTCATTATATACCCCAATACTTCGTCTAGAATAGTAAAAATGAATTAAATTTGCATTAATGAGTTTTCTGGCTTAATAATAGTAACAGTCTCTTATCCCAATTCTTATAATTTATTAATCAGTTTTGGAAAGTAATTTGAAACCTAAATAATTTGTTACGTTACTTCAACTTATATCAAATCTAATAAATTCATTTTATTATGTTAATTATTTATTTATAAAATCAATTTCCAATAAATTTCATTTATATTTTAAGGTTGATTTTTATATCTTTGGTGTATATATGTATGCTAGATGAGATTACCTGCTAGTTATATAGAATTCGATTCTTGGTATTAGGTTCAACATCTGTGAAACAATAATCATTTGTTAATTTTATATTAAATGATGGAATTTCTTGTGATATTGAATTGTTTTTAATATTTTTTTTTATTTTATATAAGATTAAAACAAATAGTTGATGTGTTATCCTCATGAAATACCATTATTTTTTAGATAAATTTCATAATTAGAATAAATCTACAAATAAAAATTGTAAATAATAAATATTAAAAAAGTATGGAAGATTAGATAAATAATATACATAATAGTAAGAATGTATAGAATATAATTAGAAAGAGAATATAATGGTTGATATAATAATATTAGATGAACTTATGGATAATCAATATAAGACAGATTTGTATCAGTAAATGATGGAGGATATCCAATAATAAAATGTACAAATAGTATGGCTTATTTAAATCCTTTTATGAAATTTGTAGATGGTTATGATCATGTAAAATGCGATCTTTGTAATTTAATAACTGAAATTCGATTTAAAAAGATAACTTAAGATAATGTAATAGAAATAACAGAACTAACAATTTGATCATATGATAAAGAGTATAAGCTAGACCATCCATGGCTCCAAAATATTTTTTTATGATTGATGTTTCAACGAAAAGTGAAACACTTTTAAGATAAGATATGAATGAATTAATTATTAGTGATTAATTTAATTTAACATTTGATTGTTAGATTCATTTGTACAATTTTAATAAAAAATTGAAATAAGTTTAGATGTATGTCTTAAAAGATGATAATGAGTACATCTATATGGAGAATATCTATTTAATTTATAAGATTCTAAAAATAGTATTGTTGCATTCTTAAATATTTATTTCCTAAACCTCAATTAAGAAGTAATAAATTTATGGAAGCATTGAAAATATCTTAAAAATTAATTTATAATTAGGGTTCTAATTTAATAATCCTCATATCTTGATCAATCAAAGAATTAAATATTTTAGAGAACAGTAAGAAATCATAATAGTAGTTACATAAAAGAAAATCTATTTTGACCTAAAATTCAAACTTTGTATATTTGTCCATCCATTTTTATAATTCCTGTTGGTTTTATGAATTTATTTACAATCAATGAATTGCCAACTTATTTGAATGGAGATTTATTTTTATTATAATAATCCTACTGTTTATGGTGAGTAGATTTTATTAATATTTGAGGGATAATATTTAAAAATGATCTTAAGGAAACCAATCTAGCATTTAATTATCTCTATGAATTCCATTAAGTAATTCTATAAAAACCATATCAATGTACTATGAAAAATTTTAAGATTGCTTTATTTTAAATGAATTCATTCAAGGATTTAATTCCTGTAAAAGAATTCTTAATATCTATAAATTAGGCCTAATGAAATCAAATATATTTAATTACTAATATGATTAATAAAGTATTTTAACAGATTGTATAAATTACTTTAGAACTATTTATCAATATATCAATTATGATGAATTAGTTACTTATTTAATACCTCGAATATATAATGTAACTAATTTATAATAACATGAATGATAATGGTTAATTTGTATATCCACAATAATTGTCTGTAGTAAAAGATGAGTTATCAACTAGAGGTAGTCTCTATCAGATGGATTTTGAATATTGTTTAATTGTACATATATGTAAGTAATAGAATGTGTAATTAAAGAATAATTGATCCAACTGAATTAATTCTATAGAGATTATAATATTAAACATCTGTTTGAAGATGATCTCTAAATAAATAATGCAATTTATAGTACTTTATAGATATATTGATTTAGAATTTGATTTATGATGATTTAGATTGTTCTAATAGGATGAATTACAATACATAGGTTGATCTTATAATAGTTTATATATATTTATAACATTAATACAGTATAGTTTATAATTATCAATTTAAATAATAATATAAATGAATTAATCTTAATATGGAGCGTTCGGAGTTAGTGGTAATAACTTTAATCAAGGTAAACCGCCTGCCAATAATTATAATTTTGAAAATGTTAGAGTAATTTATAATTTTTATTAGGTTAGGCTTAATAACCTGCACCAGGTGGACCATAACCTTCTCGAGGTAAACCACTTGGAACAGCTGCAAGACAACCTTAAGCAGAAGCTAGACCTATGACATCTAATAGAGGAGCTAATTTTGGTTAAAAGAAAGACCCTTTCAATTCCACTCAGAATCAAATTAATTTGAATAAACCTAAACTTGAAACTAATCCTGAAGAATAATTTAAATCTATTGAAAAAGAAATTAATACTCTCATAGAATAAAGTGCCATGGCTAAATTAAGAGGAAACTTATCTGAGTGTTTAGAAAAAGCTAAAGAAGCATTTAATAAAGAAAAAAAATTAAGACAATCTAAAGAGGCTTAAAATTTAGCTGAATCAATTAACACGGATCTTAGTTATTGTGTAGCCTTGACTTAAGCTTGTGCTTTACATACAAATGGTCTTCATTAAGATGCTCTTGCAAAATATCAAGAAATTATAAAATGTAAGTAATATCCTCAAGCTGGAAGATTAAGGGTGAATATGGGTAATATCTACTTCGAATAAAAGAAATATCCAACTGCAATAAAAATGTATAAAATGGCATTAGATTTGATACCTGCTACTTCAAAAGAGATGAGATTCAAAATATAAAAGAATATTGGTCATGCTTAAGTAAGACTTGGGAAAGAGAAATTCAAGGAGGCTATCTCTACTTATGAATAAATACTTAAGAATTCTCCAGATTTTCCAACAGGATTTAATTTAATGATTTGTTTATATTTGAGTGGAAATAAGAATAAAATGAAAGATTATTTTGTTACTCTGCTCACAATAGAGATTCCTGGAGAGAGCGAAGAAGAGAATAATGAAAATAAAGGGACAACAATGACAGATAAATTAAGAGAGGATACTAAAGAAAGAAGAAGAGAAGCTATATATTATATTGTTACTTCTGCTAAATTGATTGCTCCATTAATCGAAGATGATATAATATTAGGGTATGAATGGATTTTAGAATAACTTAAGAATTCAACATTTCCTGAAGCTGAAACAGAAATTGAAATATGTAAAGCGATGGCATTTTTGAAGAAAAAGAATATTGAAAAATCAATAGAAACATTGAAAGGATTTGAAAAAAAAGATAAGTAAATAATGGCACGAATAGCTACTAATATTTCATTTTTATATTTTTTAGAAAATGATTATAAGCAAGCTGAAAAATATGCTGAAATAGCTATAACATATGATAGATATAATGCTAAAGCTTTAGTAAATAGAGGAAATTGTCTTTATGTAAAGAATGAATTTTTAAGAGCTAAAGAATAATATTTAGAAGCTATAGGTGTTGAAGCAGATTGCATTGAAGCACTTTATAACTTGGCTTATGTAAATAGAAAATTGAATATGTTTATTGAATCTCTATAAGCTTTAGATAAACTCTAAACTATAGTTTGTATACCTGAAGTTTTATATTAGATGGCTACATTATATGAAATGACAGGCAATTCAAAATAAGCTATGAAATGGTATTTAGAGGTTTTAAATAAAGTACCAAATGACCCCAATATTTTAGCTAGATTAGGTTCATTATTTGCTAGAGTATTATTATTTAAATAATAAAATAGGAGGATGATGAACCATAAGCATTGCATTATTTTTAAGAATCATATAGAATATTACCTACAAATATAGAAACTATATCATGGTTAGGAGTTTATTATGTCAAATAAGAAATTTATGAAAAAGCTAGTTTATATTTTGAAAGAGCTGCATAAGTTTAACCAAGAGATGTTAAATGGAAACTTATGGTTGCAAGTTGTTATAGAAGAATGGGGCACTTTTAAAAGGCTCTAGGTAATTACTAAAAGATCTATTCAGATTATCCTGATAATATTGAATGTAAATTTACATATTTATTAATCAATTTAGGTCTCAGATTTCTTGTTTAGTTATGTAGAGAAATGGGATTACCATATGAAGAATATGCTGGATAATTAAGAAAACTAGAAAGAGAAATGGAAATGATGGATGGTTATTAAGGTTAAGATATTAATTTAATTAATAATGAAGAAGAATAAGTTAGATTACCATAAGGAGATGATAATCCTGTTAGTTTTACCAATAATACTAGGTAATTTTTCATTTATTATATTCTCATAGACGTGGAAATAAACAACCACCTCCTAAAACCAATCTTAGATAAAATATTGATGATGAATAATTTTAAGATGGGGTAGAAGATAACTTTTTACCTTGAAATGATATAAAATATTAATATATAAATTATGAACATTTCATTATAATAATATGATGAATAATAAAATTCAGAGAGAATTGATACTCAATTTCACAAATAAACACAGAATATATTTAGACACTAATTCTCTTAATATTAATTCAATAATACTTGGAGACTTAATGGATTTAATATAATTATAATTGTTCTTAAATTTATATAAGCAATTACTAAACAAACCTTTAACAATTCCTTTAAACTCCTTAATCGATAATTTTTCAAATTACTCAAAGATAACACTGCTGATTATAATTTTTATTTACATAGAGGCCATTTTGCATAAGCCAAACCTTAATCTTTTATGATCAGATTTGATCAAAAAGTGAACTTCCTTCAATGTAGTTACTTTTATTAATTTAGATTATAGAAGAAATTACATCAAAAGGATTATGCAATTTTTTTTATTGGAGCCAGACGATACATTAATTATTTTTTGGAATATATATTTATTGTGTATTGTTACAATAAATGTATTTTATGTTTCTTTAAGATTATCTTTTGTAGAGATTGTTGAAATGGATTGGCTCTTAAAAGACTTTATATTCGAATAACTACCTAGTTATTCATTTTTATTAGAAATCCTTATCAAATTCAATACTTGCATATATAGTAAAGGCGTTCTTATAAAAAATAGAAAAAGATTAATAAAGCGATACTTAAAGCAAGAATTTTTAATTGATTTGGTTCTGATAATTCCATTTTTTATTGGAAGGCAATTTGATTTTATTTATTTAGATCTTGTAATAATTTTAAAAGTGTTTTAAATATCAAAACTAACTAATTCATTATTTAATCGTTTGGAATTGACATAACAACAAACAACTATTTTTGAGTTAATAAAATTGATGTAATAGAATATTAATAATAGAGTTTTTTTATCCTATTATGTGCTCATTTTTCAGCTTGTATATGGCATAAATTAGGAGTATGGGGAGATTGGGGAAATAAAAATACAGAAACGTGGTTGATAAAAGAATAATTGTAAGATTTCATGTGGATTGATAAATATGTCGTTTCATTTTATTGGAGTATAGTTACTATGACAACTATTGGTTATGGTGATATAACTCCAGTAAATTTAACTGAGAGAATATTCTGTATTATAATGACATTAATATCTACTGCAACATTTGCTTATTCAGTTAATAGTATTGGATAGATATTTTAAGATATGTCAAAACAATCTGTTTAATTTAAAACTAATATGAATAGTTTGAATAAATTCTTAAAAAAATAAAAAGTATCAGCATCATTACAGATAAAATTCAGAAGATATTTTGAATATTTTTGGAGCAAACCCTCTTAAGAAGTAATCCAATTTCAAGATTAAATTCCTCAATAATTAAAGGATTAAATGATTGTTGATATAAATATTAAATTACTAAAATAATTAGATTTATTTAAGTAATTTAGTAATTCTTTATTGGTTACTCTTTGTTTATAATTTAAAGAATTATAATTATAACCAGATGAATATCTATTTAAATCAAACAATCTAGCTGATAAGTTATATATTTTAGTAAATGGATAAATAGACTTACACTTAATAATAAATAAGAAAAAAAGAATTCTTGAAAAATTAAAAACTCCTTGTTTGGTTGGCTAACTTAATTTTATACTTAATAATGAATATAATTATGAAGCTATTGCTACTAAGAATACAAAATTATTAGCAATTGATCGATAGACACTTCTTGATAATATAAAATAAAGTGAAATAGATTATGTATTTATATAATTTTATTGAACAGGAAATCTATAAAAACTTTGAGGAAGATATTAGATTACAAAAATAATATGAGAAAATTTCAATTTAATGTTAAATTTGTCGTAAATCAAAACATTTCATCCTTGATTGTCCTCTTCTTATTGGAGGTTTAAATAGAACAAAAGTATTATATCAATTAAGACATAATGTACCTCAAGATAGAATTAATAGATTAAGAAATAATTATGATAGAAGAATATCAACAAAGAAACATCATTTTCTTGTTATGGAAAGTGTAGTATAATATATAATGAAGAATGATGAGATGTGTAATTTAGATGGAATCAAAGAATGTAAATATTATAATATACATTTTAGAATTGCAAGCAGCAATCAAATCCTAATAATAATATGAAGAAAAGATATCTTATGCTCTATCTAATTAATTTATTAAACCAATATCACAATTACAAATTGTACCAACTTCTATTAATTGTATATCTCATTAATCTCTTCATAATACTCAATTAATTAATAAAAATAATTCAATAAAATAACATCAAGAAGTTCCAATAGAAAAAGATCATCAATTTGGAACTTTGAGTAAATCTTAGGATATTCATTTATTAACAGGTCTCAATAGTTAAAAAATACAAACAACATAAGAAGAACCATAAACTAAAGAAGAAAGATCAGATGAAAATAAGTTCTCATTAAATATTAGTGAATAATTACCATAAATTGAAAAATAATCAAATCCAATGTTACCTTCAAATGAGACTGATATAAAAGAGCAAAGAGTCTTAAATAAAAGAAATTCAATTAGATAAAAATTTGAAAGAAAACATACAGATCAGTATGATACTGTGAAAAACAAACAAAAATTAAATAATAAATTATTAAATGAGGGAGAAGAGAATATCGAAAGATTTAATAAATAATCTAGAAATAATAATAATTAATAAATATTATCTTAATAATAGAAAAAGAATCCTTTTTAATAACAAATAATAATGAGAAAATAAAGTATATAAGATTATTTAATCTAAAATGATAAGGCTTAAGAAATTCTATATAATAAATAAAGTAAATTAGATGAATCACATTTCGAACTAGAATATTCAATAAGTTAAGAATCTATTAAAAATAGCAATCTTAAACCTAACATTGAAATATACTAAGTTGATAATAAAAGTGATTAAGGTTAAGATATTAATAAAAAATAATCAATTAATAAAATAAATACTAAAATAGTTGATGAAGATGATGTATCAGAAGATGAAAATCATTTAACTAATTAATATTTAGAAGAATAAATGTTAAAAAATAAATAAAGGTTTACTGATAAGTAGATTACTTTTCAAGAAACTACTTAAAATTAAATTTGGTATCATCCATAATAAGTCTAGTTTGAGAAAATTAAATAAAAAGAAGAATAGTTACAATAATAAAAAGAAAGACAATAAACTCTTAATATAAATAATAAAGAAAGTAAAGAAAATAAAGATATTAATAATTTCAATATTTAAAGAGGATTAACAATTAAAGTAACATCTGAAGATTCTTCAGATGAAGATATAAATGGATAAAAATTAATTAGAGGATAATATCTTGAAATTTTTAATAATTTTGAAATAGTCAAGGAATTCAAATGCTATTATCCTAATAATAACATTTCTTAAATCCTCTTTTTGGTATAAATTTATATTTATATTAGTTATATAAAAATAATTTGAATTTATCCCAAAATTTTATGAATAAAAAAAAATTTAAAAAGTAAGATACGATTATGAACCTACTAAAATAAACATAGCATCTCATTAGAAAAAGTTAATAATGATATTATAATTTAATTTCGAATCCTTTTCAGGTTTATTATTTAAATATATACAATTATTTAATTCCTGTAAATTAAATTATCATAAAAGTTGAATTCTCAGAAAATATATATTTTATTTTAATATTTTTTATTTTATTTTAATAATTAATAATTACACATTAAAGAGTTTATGAATTAAGTGATGTAAGCTGACCATTAAGTTCATTAATTTTTTTAATTTACCTCAATATTTTTGAATATACTTTAGAATTCTTTATATGAACTAATAATCTAGATATTATTTTTATTTAGATTTTAAAATAAATACAATATAATTTATAAAAATCAAAATACCAAGATATCCTTCTTCAGTAAGCATTGATAAAATCCTCACTTTCTACTTTCTAAATTGATATTTAAGCAAATGAAAAAGCTAAATTTTACTAATAATAATCCTTATGAATGATAAATAAACTTAATTATGCTATTTAATTTTATTTGCCATTTTGTTAATCAGAATATTTTTCAAGTAAACTTTCCTCAATTTCAAGAAATTCTAAAATAACTTTAGTTGTTATCTACTATAATTTTATTATTAAATCATAAACTATAGGTTAAGCCAGTAGATTCTCCTTATTAATTCCTAAAATTTAAAAGGATTGGTTATTTTAGAATTAAATTTGTCTTAAGTACCTTTTGAGCATTCAACTTTTCAAGTTTATGGAAATTGTATTACTTTTCTTTTTCTATTAAAAGAATAGCTATTTCATTTATGTTAGAATTTAACATTCTATACTAAGTATATTCCTTTAAAGATATTATTTTCTAAATCTTTGGAAATCAACAAAATATTTAATAAATAAATTTTAATTAAATTTCTTATTATATTTATTTTTAAAAAAAACAAAGAATATAATTTATGAAAAACTTTTCACTTTTTAAAATAAATACTTATTCAATCAATATTATTCTTTAGAATAATTTGAAATAATTTCAAAAATTAACATCTATGAAAACTCTATTATTTTAAAATATTATTTCTCGATAATAATCTCTTTTATAATTTACTTGTCTTTTATAAAAGCTCTTAGTCTTACTAAATTTTTTTATTTAATTAAATTTTCTTAAAATTCTATTTGTTTTTTAATTTACTCATAATCCCTTTTAATTTCATGAATCATCAGTTTCTGGTAATTATGAAGTAGAATATTTTCGAATGTCTTTAGCAAATCTTAAGCTGCCTTCTCCTTCTAAGTATTTTCTTCCATTTGTTCATTTTGTTTAATTTAAAAGACCTAAATATAATTATTTTCCTGTTAGTTTTTTTTTTTCTTATTTTATTTTTCTGCGTCATTTTTAAATCTTTCATAATATCTTGTTAAATGATACTACCTTATATAGTTAACTAAAGAATATAATTTTTCATAAGATTATGAATTAATTAAAAATACTTTTTTGAATATTTAAATTTCATCGGGCTTGGGAATTTTTTCCAACCTTTAATTTATTTGCAAAATTAAATTTTTAATTTCACTTATTATTTGTTAAAACGATGTTGGATTATTCTGTTAATTTTATTCTAATTCATTTATTTTAACTTATAATTGTTCTTCAAATATTTTGAATTATTCATATGTATCAATAAGTTTATTATCAAGATTTTCAAATTACAATTAGCCTTTTATACTGTATACATTTCTCAATATTTCCTCTAATTTTTAGGCTTTTTAAGAATTATATTATTTTTATTTTCCCAGTAAATCCACAATCTTTTATTATAATGGCATTTACCCTTATTTATTTTAAAATTAATTTAATTTTTCTTTAAATAGCTTTTAATTATCTTAATTAAATTCCTAATATTTCTCTAATATTTAAATTTCGTCATCAAGTTCCTTTTACAAATTTTCTCTATTTAGATTTATTTATTTTATATATTGAATCTTATCTGCTTCAATTTTGATTAATTAAATTTCTTTTGAAAATTGCATTTATTTTTATTAAAATTAATTCTTCAATATTAAAATTTCTTTTTCTTATTCATTTTTGTTTTCAACTCCTATTCTTTAAACTATTAACTTTAATTGGATAAGTTATTCTTCTTCATTAATTAGTAAATTATTTAAATTTTCTTCAAATTATTCTAAATAGATTATTTAATCATTAATAGTTTGATAGGAATTAAATTAATTAAATTCTTTAAATAGTTTGAATTATTCTTAAATTTAATTCATATTTTAATCTATCTTTCTTTATTTACCCAGTACTAAGTTCTTAGTTTGTTCATTATTGCAATATTGATAATTAATAAAATCATTTATCTTAATTTTTAATTGATTCATTTTATTTAAAAATTCACTTAATTATGCATCTATATTTTTTAATTTTTATATTCTTTCAGCATTTATTAATTCAATTTATTAATCGTGATGAATTTATTCATGCAATTAATCATATTATTTTTCAAATTCTTTTAAATTTTGATTGATTGAATCTTATATTTAATTGAATTATTGATAATTTTCAAATAGTTCTTAAGTTAAAAGTAATTCCATAGAATTTAATTTGCCAAAACAATCTCCTATTTGAATAATAATTTAATCTATTTTTTATTTATATTTTTAATTCTTATATAGATATTTAAATTTATCCTATAAATCTTTTAAATTATCAGCTAATTCCTATATTTATCTATGATGTTCATCAACAAATTTACTATCAATTTATTCAAGAGATGTATTTGATTCATCAATAGATATTTTAAGTCTTTTTTAAGCTAATTAAAGTTCCTCAATCTTGCTATTAAAGGATTAATAATTGAAAATTTAGCAAGATCGCTCAAGTGAATGCATCATTTTCTCTTATTCTTCCAGAATTAAAAAATCTGAAATCAGTTTTTAGTAATGCTTTATAACTTCCATCAATTTCTCTTATCCATATTTTTATTATTAAATTTCGTCATAAAACTTTATTTTTTATTAAAATTTTTGAATATTGTCTGAAAATGGAGTAAATTGTTATTTTAAATTAGTAAATTATTTTTCAAATTTTTGTTTTTCATTATTTAATTGGTCCATTTCTTTTTCATGTTTCATTTTTTAATATTCAATCTTTTATCTATCATTTACTTACTTTAAAAGTAACATTTATTTATCTTCAATCTAATTAATAAACTTATTTTATTCTTATATATTTTATTAAATTTCCTAAGTTATATAATTATCCTATCCTCTAAGTTACTCTTATTAAAAAGCATTTTATATATTCTATTTTCTATCTTCATTTTCTTTGAGTGTTTAATTTTATTTTTAGATTTAATTATTTATGATAGTAATCAACTCAGTTTTCATTTAATCTTAAGTTTCAATATTTTTTATTATCTATAATTTTTAGTTTAGATTTGATATAAAAATTGAAATAGCATTGTATTACGATTAAAATAGAATTAACAATGATTATTTTTTTTCTTCTAATTATTTTAAATTTACTTAAACTTAGTTTTGTTCCAATTAATCTACTTTTTTTGAATATTCTAGCAAATACTTATTTTAAATTTCTATTTCTAATTATTTTTTAAGGTCTTCTTCAAAAGTTTCTAATTATATTTTAATTTCTTACTCTCTTTACTATTGCTCCCTTTATTTATATTATTCAATATATTATTATTAATTTTATTCTATCTATTTTTTAAATTAATTCAGTTGATTGTAAAACTATATTGATTACTAGATTTACATTTCAGCTAACTATTTTGTATCTTATTCTTATTATTGAGCCTTTTATTGTTGTGCAATTAATTCTTATTATTTTTATTTTATTTAATCTTCAAATTCTAATTTCTATTATTAGTAAATCTTTTTTAATTCATCATCAAGTTCTTTTGCTTTCTAGTTTTCAATTTATCTTTTCATTTATTACATTTCTAGTAATTTCTTATATTCAAATTATTAAATTTTTATTCTATATTCTTCTTCCATATTCTTTTTTAACTCTAATTAAATCTTTTATGTTTCCTCTTATCTTTTTTTTTCTTATTCTTCCTTTTCTTATTTTTATTTTAGTTCTAATAACTATTATTATCTGTTTCTCTCTTATTCCTCCTTTTCTTATTTTTATCTTTTTTCTTATTCTTCCTTTTCTTATTTTTATTTCAGTTTTAATAACTCCTATTATTATTTAATTGTTTCTTATTCTTCTTTTTAATTCTAAAATTTTGATTATTATAAAAACTAATTTTATTATTTTAAAAATTATTAAGGTTATATTGGTTAATCAATAAATTACATCTTATTTAAAGGTTATGGTTTTACAGTAGAAAATAAGAATGGTTTTTATGAGAATTAATTTTGCATAAATTTATTATTTAATTAAAATGATTAGTGATTTTAAATTCTTTGGTTATAAGCTGTCAATATATCTTTTAATTGAATTCTTTGAATTGATTTTTTTTTGAGCATCTTTGAAATCAAATCTTTTTCTTCTTGTTTTATCTTTTTATTATTTTAAATTACGGATTCAATCTCTTCTTAAGTGATTGATAAAATATTTTTATAAACTTTCTTTTAATCATTACCTAAAATTATAAATTAATGTTACCTTAAAAAAATGTTTCTTGTGTTAACATTTCATACCAAATGACTCCCAAAGACCAAATATCAACTGATTTGTCATAAAAAGTATTGGTATTTGCTAATACCTCTGGTGCAATATAACATGTTGATCCAATACAACTAGTTGACATCAACTTATTTGAGGTTTCTTTAACTAAACCAAAATCAATCAATTTAACAATTTTTTCATTGTTTGGTTTATTAATATATACAAAATTTTCTGGTTTTAAATCTCTGTGAAAAAATCCCAATTCATGAAGTTAACTAACTCCTTGGACCATCTAAAAAAAATCATGTTTTAAAATTACTTAAAGAAAATATTTATTTTTTTAATCGTAATCTAAGCATTTATAATCATCTGTTTCTATAAATTTATTGAAATCTCCATGAGCATACTCCATTATGATTATTAGAGGTTAATTAAATTTTTATTGTATAGCTTTTATTTCAATTATATGGCTGCAATTTCCTTTTTTAATTGTTTAAATTGCATTGTATTCATTTTAATTAAATTTTTTGTATTGTTTAATACTTACAATTTCTTTGTTTTAAATATTTTCTCCCTTTTAAACTATTCCTTCTGATCCTTCACCAATAAATTATTATATTTTATATGTAACATCATCTATTATTAAAATATTCTGATTATCCATCAAAGAATTTTCTTTATAATAGAAAATGAAGAATTTATTTATTTTAATATTTTTTGAATTCTATTATTATGTATTTTTTATCAAATTAATATTTTTATATAAAAAAATAGATTTAATAAAAAAAGTTAATTAAACATATATATCCTAGAGAATCTTAAGAATTTATAAATGAGAAGGGATTCAATAAATTTCATAACTTCATATTATTCTAATTATTAATACTGTTAAAAAATAAGTTTTAAAAGTTAACCTTGCTCGATTTGCTTATGCTATGATTTAGACTTTGATAATAATTAGAATTTAATCTGTTATTTACAGTATTTTTCAAAAATTTAGTTAAGTGATATATTAAATTTATGTAAACTCCATAATTCACCAAGATATAAGACGAAACTTTCACTTCCATTTACAAACATAGCAATGGATATATTGGCAAATTTGAATATAATTGCAACAATTTGTTAGTATTAAGAGAAATTACGGTACAACACAGATTAAAGCCAATCTGATAAAAACAGTATCGATATCATTTCTGTTTTAAATTTTTTCAAACAATTTCTGAATTGATTTATCAAAATTTTCATATAAATTTAACCAAATTTATAAAAAATTAACATCTCACTAGGTATTTGATTCTCTAAAGACAGTCCCAAGAACAAACCCAAACCTACCCTTAAACTGAAGATCGCAATAAAGGCTGTGAGATATCTATTGTTGCTTAATAAAGTATAATCACCTAATTTTATTCATCTTTCTCTTATTTTAAAAATTTTTAATATTATATAGAATTTTTCATTCACATACTTATAATAAAATAGTTAATGTTTGTGCAATTTTATTGCTTAAATCATAATTGTAATTATATTAATATTCTTTAACTTCATCATGACCTACTATTAAATTTTATTTCGATATTTAAATAAAATCTAGAATGAAAAAAAGTACATAAAAAAATTAAAATGGTTATCATTATGTTATTTATTCTTTTTTTAAAATTAATTGGAAAATTTTAGAAAATATATTTAAAAACTTTATATTTTAAAATTTTAAGAATTTTAATTATAAATTACTATTTTTAAAAAAAATTTATAAAATTATTACTTTCTTTAATTAGATCATTAATTTTTGTAGCTTTTACCAAAAATATTATTTTACAATTTCAATATAGCTTGTGAACATATTTTAAACTTTTATAAAAATTTCTTTGCTAGATACTAAATTTATATCATTATCTTAGAAATGACTGAGTCCTTTTACTTTTTTTCTGAAATATTTTTCAAAAATAAAAATAGTTAAATCTCATGTGTATCATAACATAATGTAAACTAAATATTTATCTAAAAAATCAAAGCATTTTAAAATGGAATAAAAGTAGTAGAAAAATAGATTTATATATCAAGAACAATTGAGATTGTTAAGATCAATAAAATTATTGTATACATTTGTTTAAATACATATTCAGTTTTATTCAATATTTAAATTTTCCCAAATGCCATTAGAAATGATGGATTATGCTTTTTAATAAAGCAAGTCAGCTTCTTCAATATTCTCCATTGCTTTTAATGTATCAGCTTTAATATTTAATAAATATTTAACCTTTTTTTATCATATAATATGGATTTTCTTCTATTCTTAAAGCTTCATCAAATGCTTTTATAGCTTCTTGAAATTTGCCCAAATGATGTAGTATTTAACCTCATTTAAGAAATTGGATTTACCTTTATAAAAATGAGCTTCATTCATTTAATTTTAAATTTATATGACATTTTCAAATTATTTTAATGCTTACTGGTAATCTTCTAGTTTAAATAATCCAAATCCTAGATTACTAACCATAAAAAACCTCTCTAAAAATAAGCAGATTCTTCATCTGGTTTAAATTAAATTGCTTTATCTGCACATTTGATAGCTTCTTTAAATGCTTATAGTTTATTTAAGCATTTTGCTTAAAATATTTTACTAAAATTAACCCTTTTATATTAATGCCTGAACATTTTTTGGCGAAAATTTTAAAGCAATATCGAAATTTGTCATTGCCAGATTAAACTTTTTTTATTCAATTAATGCAAGACCTATTATATATATAAAAGAACCTTTATAATAATAGCCATAGTGTTGTTGCGGTTCCATTTTTATTGAATTTTCGAAGGATTAAATAGCCACATCATGCTCCTTCATAGCCATTAATGTTTTCCCTAAAAATATGTTTGTTTTATACCTTAAAAAAGATATATTTCAAAAGTTGGTTAAGTAGATATTGAAATACAATAACTATTTAAAGCTTCAATATAATCTTTTAATCCATGTAAGGCAATGCCTTTTAAAGTAAAAGTTTTATTTATTGGACTTATTTATTACATAGTTTCACAATAAAAGAAGGCATCATTGTATTTTTGCATTTTGAGTAATGTTAAACCTTAATATATATTTGATAAATTACATTTTTTAAAATTGAACTCGTATTTGAATGGATCTGTCTAAAGTGCTTCATCACAAGAATTTAAGACTTATTGAAGTTCTTCATTTTTAAATGCAATTTCTTAAGAATTTAATAATAACACCAAATCATCTTCTAATTCTTACTTTAAGGTTGTATACCTGAAAATATTTTTTAAGAATTTTTTTATTGTAAATAGCTTAAATTTATTTCTGGTAGGGGTTGATTTTAATACCTTAAATTAATTTATATAGATTACTCAGGATTTTAGTTCATATATTGTTAATTAACAGATTGTAATTTTGTTTTAATATCTTTTTCAGATTAAGGGCAAGTACCCTACTATTAGATTGGTTATTAAAATTAACTTTAATTTACATTTTACTCTATTGATATTGAATATAAAATTACATTATATAATAGGTCTTGTATTTTCTAATTACAAAAGTGGTTATGTGGGTTATTTTATAATTTAAGGTGTTTGGGGTATTTAGGAAGTGAGAATTGAATGAGGTTAAGTGGTTTAAATCATCGGATTAGAAGTTTTGAATGCTTAAGGTTGATTTGATATTTAATTTTGATAGCTAGAAATTTATTAAAATAATAATGATGGATTTTGTGATTTCAAATTTTATTAAAAAGAGTGCTATTAAACTTTATTTTAAAGTATTTATGAAGAATTGACTCCTATTTATTAAGAAATTTCTTATGGAGACTTCTCTTTGCTGTTTTGGAAATCGGTCTATAGAAAAGGTGATTATTATATTGGTTATTTTGGATAAGTTTATTTTTCATAAGTTATTTCAATTTCATCTTCCTTATTTTTTAATTACTTAATCTATGATTTAGATTAAGCTTGTTCAGATGTACTTTATGACTCAATATTAACTTAAATTTCCTAATCTAATTTATATTTTATAGTTTACGTCTTTTTTCAACTTAATTTATTTAGATGTTATCTGTGTTTGATGATTGTGATATATATTTTTCTTTAACTTAAGGATTTCCCAAATTATTTAGTGCTTTCAATATATTTTCTAGTTCTTCTAATATCAATTCTAATTAAATATTGAAGTCTTAAATACTTTCATTATTTTAGTCTTAAGAATTGAGGAAATTTTTTAAAACCCATACATCTGCTTAACAATTTTGATATTATTTCTCTTATAAGTATTTTTCAATCTCATCCAATTTTTCATAACCAATATTATTTGATTAGCATAATTTTTCACTTTTGGTTTATATTTCTTTCAATTTGTTAATTACTTCATCATTTTAACTTGGTAATGCTTTTTTATTTTTTTTCAATAAATTGGATATTTGTTTAAAAGTCTTACAATCATCTTCATGATCTGTATGTTTATCCCAGCAACATTTTAAACAAATCTGTGCTTCTATTTAACATTTTTAATTTAAACAGAATCCTATTATCTCCTCTTCATCATGACCATCATGTTTACAAACAAATTCAAGTTCACTCATATTTCTATTAAATATAATTTTTATTTAATTTAATATCAAATAACAATATAAATATAAGTTGTTAATAAAATCAAAAAAAATGCTTAACTTGTGAATAGTAGTCCTAAAAACAATACATAAATACCTAATTTATTATTAGTAAAGTTAAATTATTAATTTTGTTTAACTATTTAAATTAAACCCTTTTAAAAATCATTTTTTAAGAATTATCATAAATCAAACAAAAATTTATTAGTAGTAATCATATCAATGGCTAAATAAAATAATGTAATTCTTTTTAATAATCATTTTTCATTGGTATTTTGATTTCTCTAATTAAAATTATCTAAACTTTTAAATAATAAATGAGAAGCTTCTTAGAATTTTCTAAGAATTTATTGTTTATCAACCGAATATCAAACTGACCTTTTCTTTATAGCTGAATCCTATTAAATTGGGTTTTTTAGGTTCATATTATAAATAAGACAAGTAGAGAACAGTGGAATGAGATAATAATTGAAAAACTTAGTAAAATTATTGCTGTTTATGAGTAGATATCAAGTAGTAAGAGAGTAAAATAAGTTTAATGGAATCTAGAAGTTAAAATAAAGTTTGGATTAAATAGTATTTGGATTTTATCTATAAATAAAACAAATAATGAGCCTTCAGTAGTTTAAAACCCCGATAATTAAATTTGAGAAAATCATAATTTAATTACTTGAAATGAAAATGATGAAAATATTACTTTTGTTTTGTATAGTCTCTTCCATCTTTACATAAACTCCTCAAGGATCTTCATAAGATGGTCAAAGTAAGATGATTAGATTTATAATATTTTAGCTGTTCCTGGAAGTTCTGATGGTATGTAAGGTGCACCCTATGACTAATAAGGATAATAAAATACAACAGGTATATAAAAATATCTTATGTTTTATAGGTGTATAATAATAAGGAGGTATGTAATAAGGCGGTATGGGATAAGGTGGTCAACAAAAAGGAGGAAAGGCTAAGAAATGCTAACCAAAATAAGGACAATAAGAAGGATAACCATAGGTTTAATAACAAGAACAACAACCAAGTTAATAAATTCTTCCTGGAAATCAACTTCCAGGTTAATAAAATTAATAATAACCTTCAGGTACATCAACACCTTAATAACAACCTGGTATGGGATAATATCCACCAGGAACTTAATAACAACCTAGTGCAGGAACATTATCATAACATAATGTAAACTAAATATTTATCTAAAAAATCAAAGCATTTTAAAATGGAATAAAAGTAGTAGAAAAATAGATTTATATATCAAGAACAATTGAGATTGTTAAGATCAATAAAATTATTGTATACATTTGTTTAAATACATATTCAGTTTTATTCAATATTTAAATTTTCCCAAATGCCATTAGAAATGATGGATTATGCTTTTTAATAAAGCAAGTCAGCTTCTTCAATATTCTCCATTGCTTTTAATGTATCAGCTTTAATATTTAATAAATATTTAACCTTTTTTTATCATATAATATGGATTTTCTTCTATTCTTAAAGCTTCATCAAATGCTTTTATAGCTTCTTGAAATTTGCCCAAATGATGTAGTATTTAACCTCATTTAAGAAATTGGATTTACCTTTATAAAAATGAGCTTCATTCATTTAATTTTAAATTTATATGACATTTTCAAATTATTTTAATGCTTACTGGTAATCTTCTAGTTTAAATAATCCAAATCCTAGATTACTAACCATAAAAAACCTCTCTAAAAATAAGCAGATTCTTCATCTGGTTTAAATTAAATTGCTTTATCTGCACATTTGATAGCTTCTTTAAATGCTTATAGTTTATTTAAGCATTTTGCTTAAAATATTTTACTAAAATTAACCCTTTTATATTAATGCCTGAACATTTTTTGGCGAAAATTTTAAAGCAATATCGAAATTTGTCATTGCCAGATTAAACTTTTTTTATTCAATTAATGCAAGACCTATTATATATATAAAAGAACCTTTATAATAATAGCCATAGTGTTGTTGCGGTTCCATTTTTATTGAATTTTCGAAGGATTAAATAGCCACATCATGCTCCTTCATAGCCATTAATGTTTTCCCTAAAAATATGTTTGTTTTATACCTTAAAAAAGATATATTTCAAAAGTTGGTTAAGTAGATATTGAAATACAATAACTATTTAAAGCTTCAATATAATCTTTTAATCCATGTAAGGCAATGCCTTTTAAAGTAAAAGTTTTATTTATTGGACTTATTTATTACATAGTTTCACAATAAAAGAAGGCATCATTGTATTTTTGCATTTTGAGTAATGTTAAACCTTAATATATATTTGATAAATTACATTTTTTAAAATTGAACTCGTATTTGAATGGATCTGTCTAAAGTGCTTCATCACAAGAATTTAAGACTTATTGAAGTTCTTCATTTTTAAATGCAATTTCTTAAGAATTTAATAATAACACCAAATCATCTTCTAATTCTTACTTTAAGGTTGTATACCTGAAAATATTTTTTAAGAATTTTTTTATTGTAAATAGCTTAAATTTATTTCTGGTAGGGGTTGATTTTAATACCTTAAATTAATTTATATAGATTACTCAGGATTTTAGTTCATATATTGTTAATTAACAGATTGTAATTTTGTTTTAATATCTTTTTCAGATTAAGGGCAAGTACCCTACTATTAGATTGGTTATTAAAATTAACTTTAATTTACATTTTACTCTATTGATATTGAATATAAAATTACATTATATAATAGGTCTTGTATTTTCTAATTACAAAAGTGGTTATGTGGGTTATTTTATAATTTAAGGTGTTTGGGGTATTTAGGAAGTGAGAATTGAATGAGGTTAAGTGGTTTAAATCATCGGATTAGAAGTTTTGAATGCTTAAGGTTGATTTGATATTTAATTTTGATAGCTAGAAATTTATTAAAATAATAATGATGGATTTTGTGATTTCAAATTTTATTAAAAAGAGTGCTATTAAACTTTATTTTAAAGTATTTATGAAGAATTGACTCCTATTTATTAAGAAATTTCTTATGGAGACTTCTCTTTGCTGTTTTGGAAATCGGTCTATAGAAAAGGTGATTATTATATTGGTTATTTTGGATAAGTTTATTTTTCATAAGTTATTTCAATTTCATCTTCCTTATTTTTTAATTACTTAATCTATGATTTAGATTAAGCTTGTTCAGATGTACTTTATGACTCAATATTAACTTAAATTTCCTAATCTAATTTATATTTTATAGTTTACGTCTTTTTTCAACTTAATTTATTTAGATGTTATCTGTGTTTGATGATTGTGATATATATTTTTCTTTAACTTAAGGATTTCCCAAATTATTTAGTGCTTTCAATATATTTTCTAGTTCTTCTAATATCAATTCTAATTAAATATTGAAGTCTTAAATACTTTCATTATTTTAGTCTTAAGAATTGAGGAAATTTTTTAAAACCCATACATCTGCTTAACAATTTTGATATTATTTCTCTTATAAGTATTTTTCAATCTCATCCAATTTTTCATAACCAATATTATTTGATTAGCATAATTTTTCACTTTTGGTTTATATTTCTTTCAATTTGTTAATTACTTCATCATTTTAACTTGGTAATGCTTTTTTATTTTTTTTCAATAAATTGGATATTTGTTTAAAAGTCTTACAATCATCTTCATGATCTGTATGTTTATCCCAGCAACATTTTAAACAAATCTGTGCTTCTATTTAACATTTTTAATTTAAACAGAATCCTATTATCTCCTCTTCATCATGACCATCATGTTTACAAACAAATTCAAGTTCACTCATATTTCTATTAAATATAATTTTTATTTAATTTAATATCAAATAACAATATAAATATAAGTTGTTAATAAAATCAAAAAAAATGCTTAACTTGTGAATAGTAGTCCTAAAAACAATACATAAATACCTAATTTATTATTAGTAAAGTTAAATTATTAATTTTGTTTAACTATTTAAATTAAACCCTTTTAAAAATCATTTTTTAAGAATTATCATAAATCAAACAAAAATTTATTAGTAGTAATCATATCAATGGCTAAATAAAATAATGTAATTCTTTTTAATAATCATTTTTCATTGGTATTTTGATTTCTCTAATTAAAATTATCTAAACTTTTAAATAATAAATGAGAAGCTTCTTAGAATTTTCTAAGAATTTATTGTTTATCAACCGAATATCAAACTGACCTTTTCTTTATAGCTGAATCCTATTAAATTGGGTTTTTTAGGTTCATATTATAAATAAGACAAGTAGAGAACAGTGGAATGAGATAATAATTGAAAAACTTAGTAAAATTATTGCTGTTTATGAGTAGATATCAAGTAGTAAGAGAGTAAAATAAGTTTAATGGAATCTAGAAGTTAAAATAAAGTTTGGATTAAATAGTATTTGGATTTTATCTATAAATAAAACAAATAATGAGCCTTCAGTAGTTTAAAACCCCGATAATTAAATTTGAGAAAATCATAATTTAATTACTTGAAATGAAAATGATGAAAATATTACTTTTGTTTTGTATAGTCTCTTCCATCTTTACATAAACTCCTCAAGGATCTTCATAAGATGGTCAAAGTAAGATGATTAGATTTATAATATTTTAGCTGTTCCTGGAAGTTCTGATGGTATGTAAGGTGCACCCTATGACTAATAAGGATAATAAAATACAACAGGTATATAAAAATATCTTATGTTTTATAGGTGTATAATAATAAGGAGGTATGTAATAAGGCGGTATGGGATAAGGTGGTCAACAAAAAGGAGGAAAGGCTAAGAAATGCTAACCAAAATAAGGACAATAAGAAGGATAACCATAGGTTTAATAACAAGAACAACAACCAAGTTAATAAATTCTTCCTGGAAATCAACTTCCAGGTTAATAAAATTAATAATAACCTTCAGGTACATCAACACCTTAATAACAACCTGGTATGGGATAATATCCACCAGGAACTTAATAACAACCTAGTGCAGGAACATAATAACCTGGTGGAATGTAATAGCCATCTGGAACATAAAGACCAGGTGGATAATAATAAGGTGGATAATAATAGGTTGGAACATAATAACAAAGTGGATAATAATAAGGTGGAACATAATAAGGTGGAACTTAAAGACCAGGTGGATAATAATAAGGTGGTTAATAACAAGGATAGATGGGAACAGGATAAGGTTAATCTTAATAAGGATAATCAACTTAAGGGTAAATGGGATCCGGTTCAACACAAGGGCCAATGGGATAAGGATAAGGGTAAATGGGATAAGGCCAAGGATAAGGATAGTAAGGATAAGGATAACAAGGATAAGGTTAAGGATAGCAAGGATAAGGACAAGGATAGCAAGGATAAGGACAAGGATAGCAAGGCCAAGGATAAGGATAGCAAGGATAAGGTTAAGGATAACAAGGATAAGGTTAAGGATAAGGACAAGGATAAGGACAAGGATTAGGATAGTAAGGATAAGGTTAGGGCCAAGGATAAGGTCAAGGCTAAGGTTAGGGCCAAGGTCAAGGTCAAGGATAAAAACCTTAAGGACCTCCTCCTTAATCAAAAGGATAATGGAATCAAGATTCAGAATAATAAGAATAATGTGTTGAAGTTGAAGTTACTTGTGCTGAAAATGAAATAGTTTTCAAAGATAGATGTGTTGCTTAAACATGTGAAAATTTAGAAAAAGTTTAAAGTAAATAAGAAGGTGGAAAGAAGAAGCTTCCAATGAAATTTGATGGTAAGGCTGATTTCAACGAGAATAAAGATGTTGTTGTTTAATTGATTTTCCCTGATAATAAAGATAAACCTCTAATAAAATCAGATGGAAATGCAAATGCTTGTATAGAAAGATCAATCTATCGATATAGACCTAGTTTTTTAAGTGAAACATTAGATGATTCAACAGTAACAAGTAATTATGATGATGATAAAAAATTACGAATTTGGGAATTCACAATTTCAAATTCAGAAATTGATAGTAAATTATTCAAAGATGAATAAACAGACAAGATTGTATATACAGGTTATTATTCAGTGAAACTAACTATCTAAGAAAAAAAATTAGTTTAATTTTTCTTCACATTCTTTGTAGCAATAGATTTGGATGGAAATGTCTTAGCAGCTCAAACCTAATCTGAAGCTTAAGATGATACTCCTGCTTGTGCAACTGAAGATAATTGTGTTTCAAGAGCAGAAACTGAAGTAGGATTTTGCAGTGACTAAACCTGTTAAACTTTAGTTGAATAACCTTAGGTCTTTGCTGGTCAAAATTTCTTTGTTGTTTAAAGAGTCAAATAAACTGGATTTGAATAATGGAAAGTTGGTGACGCTGATGTTACTATTACTGGTGATGGAGTCAATAAAAAATTAAAACCAACATAATAATAATAATAACCTGGTTAAACTATTTATACTCTTAATGTTGATATTCTAGCTAATAATGTTGAATTCTCTGTTAATGGTAAACTTTAAAATCCAACTCGTCGATTCAGATTTCTAGAAGATTCTACTACTATTTCTGATGGTACTGAAGTTTCATCTGCTAAAGCTGTTGGTTCTACTACTTTAGAATGTATTAAGAAGGATGCTAATTCTTCATGTCCAACCGCTGAAGAAGCTAAATTATATAACAAACCAGATTGTGGAATTATTGGATAAACAGAATGTGAAAACGATTATGGATATCAATGGTCTACACTTTTGTTGGTCATTATTTTCCTCATATCATGATTTATTATTTACAATTAATATCAAACAGTTTAATTCAAATTATTTGATATTCTATTATTTTAAGATATTTTCAGTTTAAAGACCTTTAATAGTTTATATCTATCATTATTTGATCATATTATCACCAGTAGAAATCATTCTAGTGTAGTGGTTTTCTGTATATATTTCTACTATTAGCATAATCTAATAAAACTTATTTCGAATATTATAAGTTAGCACAACATTCCTGTTCCTCTCTAATAATTTTTTATTACAAAATTTGTTTTACGTAATTAACAAAATATAAATAATTTAATTTAAGTTTTAAATCTAAAATCAGAAACATGACTAGAATTAGATT